CATTGGAGTCATGGCCTCCTCCCCCAGTTTGATAAGCTACAACACAAACTGCTCCAATGCTTAGAAATGTCCCAGCGGAGCCAGGCGGTGGTGGCCCATGCCTGTAATCCCAGCACCCGGGAGGTAGAGGCAAGTGGATCTCTGAGAGTTAGAGGCCAGCTTGGTCTACAGAGAGAGTTCCAGAACAGCCAGGGCTACACAGAGAAACCCTGTCTTGAAAAAATAGAAACAAAAAGAAAAAGGAAAAAAGAAAAAGAAATGTGCCAGCTGCTCTCCGAACTCTAGGCTGACTTCAATGTGTTCCTATGCTATGGGCTCCATCTCTTCAGCCATTTGGTGTGTGCCACAGACAAAACTGAGGAGACACTGCTGTGTATGGTTAGCCTGGGATTGAAGGCTCAAAGAGCAGAGACAACATAACACTCACAATCAGCCTTAGAGGAAGGATTCCAGTTCCTGATTGAAGAACAGCAGGACCAGAGTCCCATGGCAATCTTGAATTCCTAAATGGGGATATTAGGCATAGGGGACAGGTAGAATTCCATGGGAACTCTGTGAAGAGAGGTATGGTCTTTCTTTTTTATTTGTTTTTATTTTTGTTGTGTTTATGTATGCTTGTAAATATGTCTGGTCACAAGTGTTTGCTGGTGTGTGTGTGTGTGTGTGTGTGTGTGTGTGTGTGTGTGTGTAGCAAGCTAGAATAATGCAGTGAGTTTGAGACCATCCTGGACAACATGAGTCCCTGAATTTAAAAAAACTTAACAGTTCATGTCTCTATGATAATGGTAGAACTATACACAGATTTTTTTTTCCTGTGTAACATCATAAATGTGAAACTCAGCTAGCCCCATGGAGAGACACCCAAGGAACTCATGAAGGAAGGAACTCATGAAGGAAGTGACTGGGTACCTGGGGAAACAACCCAGAAGCCTCTAGTGTGCAGTGTTGGCCACACAAGCCAGGAACACTTCCCTCTGGCATTGCCTCCACCAGCTTTCGAAACATGGGTGGAAGTTGGAGGCTCACTTTGCCAACGGCCCTTTAGGAACTCAGGTTTGTTTGGGCACCAGCCAAACTTTCATCATTATCACTGGGCAACAGTAAACCATTATGTATCATGATTCTACGCTTTCATCTTGAGTACTTTCAAAACTCTTGGGTGGAAGTCTTATGGTGTCCCCCAGATGAGCCCTTTTGCCAACAGCTCTAGAACCTCCAGGCTACAAACACTATTTCCTGCAGGATCATGAGTAATGTCTTCCTTTAGGAAAGAGAAATGCCATCAAGGATCATGTACCAACATGTTCTTACATGCTTTTCTCAAAACATCAGTATGAAACTAGCTTGCTTGATTATATATAGGATTATTGTCTCTTTTTAGAACTTTGTTTACACTTACTTATTTTGTGGAGGGATGCAGGCATGCTATGTGTGGAAGTCAGAGGATAGCTTGAAAGAGTTGGTTCTTTCCTTCCATGATGGGTACCTGTCATCAAACTCTGTCATCAGACTTAGCATCAAGTGCCCTTACTGATGGAGACATCTCACTGGCCCATGACCATGTATTTTTTCTCCCATATTGCTGTAAGTTCCCACTGCTTTCTTGAACAACTAAGATGAGTGAGTGGAAATAATTATTATTACAAAGGATAAACCTTGTTACAATATTAATAAATTGTCATGGTTAACTAACAATAAAACAAAAAATCAACATGCAATTATTGGTTGATAATTACCTATCAGTGGATTGTCCATTAATTAAGTAAGAGCTCTCTTGGTCTAATGGTCTCTGGGAATACCCACACAGACACCCAGAAGAGGATTGATGGTGGTGGTGGAGGTGGTGGTGATATTTGTTATTGGGAGTTGAGCCTTGGTGTTTGTCTTGGTTAGAGTTTCTATTGCTATGGAGAGACACCATGACCACAGCAACTCTTATAAAGGAACACATTTAATTGGGTGGCTTACAGTTTCAGAGGTTTACTCCAGTATCGTCATGGTGGGAAACATGGTGGCATGCAGGCAGGCATCCAGTAAAAGGATCATGAATTGCAGGCCAGTCATGGCTGTATTGTTGGGGGAGGGGTTAAGGGGGGCAACAGCAACAGAGAGACAGACACAGAAGACTGGAGAGACAGTTCAACAGTTAAGAGCCATTGTTGTTTGTGCAAAGTACTAGAGTTTGGATCCCAGCACACATGTTGAGGTTCACAATTGCCTGGAACTCCAGCTTCAGGGGATCCAAGGCATTCTGGCCTCCACAGACAACCCACAAGTATATTCATTAGAGGCCTGCACACACACACACACACACACACACACACACACACACACACACCTGCTAGGTGCTCTATGAACCAAATTTAAATAACACTTAAAGGTGTTAGCTTTCACAGATGTTCATTCACACCTGTCCTGGATAGTCTTATATCAACTTGACACACAAACTAGTGTTAACATGGAAGGAGGGAAACTCGACTGAGAAAATGCCTCCATAAGATCCAGCTGTAAGGCATTTTCGTAATTAGTGATTGGTCGGGAAGGGGGGCAGCCCTTCGTTGGTGTTTCCATCCTTGGGCTGTTGGTCCTAGATTCTATAAGAAAGCAGGCTGAGCAAATCAGGGGAACCAAGCCAGTAAACAGCACCCCTCCACAGCCTCTGCATCAGCTCCTGCCTCCAGGATCCCACCTTGCTTGAGCTCCTGTCCTGACCTCCTTCAATGATGAACAATGCTGTGGAAGTGTAAACCAGATAAACCCTAATCTCCCCAATTTGCTTTTTGGTCATGGTGTTTTGTCACAGCCAAAGAAACCCTAAAAAGATAATACCCTAGAGGAAAGGAGACTGCAATGTCATACTGGTTATTTTCTAGTGGCTGCAACTGAGAGAGATGAGTACTGGCTTAAGGTTATATGGTCAGGTAGCATCAACAGGGCAAGGAGTTCTCTTAAGTTACTGGGGGAAAAAACATTGGTGTGAAAGATTATAACAGAATTGGACAATATCAAGGTGAAATTGAGTTTCAGGTCAGCCTGGGTTACATAGCAAAACCTTCAAAATGAAGTTCAATGTATTGGGGTGGAGAGATGGTTCCACGGGTAAGAGCACTAGTCACTGTTGCAGGAGACCTTGATTTGATTCTCAGTACCCATATGGTGGCTTACAACCATCTTTAACTCCATGGGTACCAGGAATGCAAATGCATATTTTCACACGGGCAAAACACTCATCACATAAAAGTCCAAGTGGCTTTTCAGTTCACTGCAGTAGTATTAAGTGGGAGGGTTATTATTTTTCTCAATTTTCCTATTTCCTTTAAGGATACTGATAGCATACAACAATATGCTTTGAGAGCTTAATAAAAATCTTAGTCTAGAAGCTGTCAGTGAACTAAAGTTTCTCTTAGAAGTTCTGTTTGCTTGTAAAAGGCCCCTATTTCTTATCTGGGAAAAAACAAACCCTTGCCAGAAACTGCCTGAAAGGAAGTTTGTCCCAACAGACAAAGGTCATGCTGCAGATAACATTGCTGTTTGCCAAGAGAAAAATACTTTTACCAACTAAGTATGTTGTTATGATAAAGCATGAGGGGAACCTTGGTGGATTCCATGGCAGGCAAGGGTCACCTATGCAGGGGACAAACATGCCAGGCATATAGACTTAAGTGAGAAGTTTTATTAGAAAGGGGAGAGAAAGGGAATGAAAAAGAGGTAAAGAGACACAGAGACAGAGAGAGGACAGAAGAGAAGAGGAACAGCAGGAAACAGAGAGTGGAAAGAGATCGTAAGTAGGTTTTGCACCTGCGTGCAGATTAGTAGTCATGGAATCCTGGGCTGACCAGGGGGCTGCCTGAGTGCATCCTGTTAGGTGACAGGGGCAGGCAGCATAATGCCTAAATCCTTACATTATTTGCAAATGCCTATATATTTATTGTTACCTGCAAGTGTTTTATGATATTATCTACCTACGTAATTATCCCTGTAAACATGCCTAACTAAATTCCCTTTAATGATTAAAGGACTCAGAGGCTACTCTCAAATTGTTCACAGAGACAGGGATGACAACCTTGCTGCTTAACCTGCATAAAGCTGTAAAAAAAAAAAAAATGCAGAGTGGAGCTAGACCACTTAAAGCACAAGCCTAGTTTCTAGTGCATGGGTGAATAAAGGTGTCTCCTACTCTCTGAGTGAATGACTGGCTTCTTATTGGATGAAATACAATACTGCAATTGCTTTTTAGTTCTGAATTAAAAAATTGCTTTTTAGCTCTTTAGTTCTGCAATTGCTTTATTCCCCCAAGCAGTAGCTCCTGGATATGGTCTCTCTCTTGTCTTGGAACGTAGAGGTAACCTTATTTCTGCAATGCCCACAAGGCAGAGAGATGACAGGCCGTAATTGTCATAGGTTAGGAAAACACATTGAAGGTAAGAGTGTCTGTGATTCATCTGAAAAATCCTTATATACGGCTATAATAGCATACTCTCCAAGAGCAAAAGCTCGGAATCCTTGTAAGTAAGCTTGTTTCCCCGGAAGATAACCTTTTGTCCAAGGGCCAAATATTTGAAAACACCACGCACTCAACTAGCACACCTCACCAAGGCTAACTTGTGAAAGCAACCACCCCAGGCTTCACTTTGATCTTCCTTTGTCTACACCCTTGCTTCAGCTCCTCTGGCTCAGACATACAATTACTATTATTATTGCTTGATAATAACTGTAATTAATGCCTAACATGGAAAAGACAGGGAGAAAATAATTCAAATATAGGGCTGAAGACACTGCAATAGAAAAAAAAACAAACAACAACAACAACAAAAACAACCCAAAACTGAACACCCTGAACAGGATCACTCCACCATCTCCATCTGTCGCCTCAGGAACTGAAGATCTTGCCTGGTAGGGGGTTGGGGACTCTAGGGCGAGAAATTCGGAAACCGAGATGCAAAGTCCTCCCAGGTTCCTAGAGGAGACCCGGAAGCATGGCGCGGTCCCGGAAGGTGAGGTGCTGACTTACTTCCGGTCTTTGTGACTCATTGTGTCTGTGTCGAGGCGTTGGGAGGGCCTAGGTTGGTGTGCGGTGCCCTTCGGCCGGGTTGAGCCCGGGAGTCAGCCGTGCTTGGTTGCTCGGTGTCCCCAGGCCACTCCGGAGACTCACGGTGAGTCTCATGGCGGACTCTCGCGAGGACGGGCGGGCCGCGAGGGTGGGCCCTGTGACCACCCGGGGGGCTTGGAAAGGAGCCCTGCCGGATTCCGGGGGTGCTGGAATCCCTGGGGCCAGTGGGGAACCCTATCGTGTCATCATCTTCGTATGACGTTTCTGAGGACGAGATCACGAGTGGACGTGATCTCTGTGTCTGGATTCTTCTCCCCCTCCCTCCGTCGCCATTTGCTGTTATTGCAGGGAAAAAGTGTTTTGTGTGGTTTTCGTTCTATTGCTGCCCTTCTCTCCCCCGTCCCGGGTCCTTGAGAATAGTGAGGTAGATGGACGATGCGGAAGACCTTGAGCTCTGCATACGTTTTGAGGTTCCGCCGACGTTTGCAGATCACCTGCTTTTCTGTCTCTCCACCTCCCAACGCTGAGCGAAAGTGCTGGAAGCCTGTTCGTGGTTAAAGGCCTAATAGAGATTAACAGCCGGCTCTCAGCTTTGTAAGCTGCTTCAAAAGCCCTTGCTGGTTTAAGCTTTTTAAATGTGCTGTCTAGAAAATAGTTTTTAGTTCACCTTCGGTGATTGGAGTGGGTGAGATGTGAAGGGTATACGGGAATCACATTCGGGCAGTAGGAAATGGACTAGATTAATGACCTTGAATGAGACATTGGCCAACTGTCAGTTTTATTCCTAAAATTAACTACCTCTGCTCAAAATGGCTCTTCCAAATTTGAAATGAGTGAAGTTGGTCAGACGTAACTGAAAAACTCAAATCGTTTAACTTGACACTCGCTATCCTTTCCCTCCCTTCCCTACACACACACACACTCACACTCACACACACACACACACACACACACACACACACACACTCACTCACTTTGGTTATAGAGGGTGTCTGTTCTATGGCCTGGGACCAAAGAAAGCATTTATTGTACAGGGCAGTGCTAGGCGGATTGGAGGCAGTCAATAAATACTTGTTGAATTGTGAAGATTCATTGTAACCACGTCAACAAGTGAAGTTACTAGAAAAGCCAGCCAAATGTGGGGAAATAGCATTATTACAAAGGATCTTTAATGAAGATTTATCCAGATGCTTTCTTCAGGTTTGTGTACCCTGTGAATTACTACACAAGATCCTTACTCATTTTATTCAGCCCCCCCCCTTTATTGTTATTTTTTGAGATGGGGTTTCTCTGTAGCTTTGGAGCCTGTCCTGGAACTCTCTCTATAGACCAGGCTGGCCTCAAACTCATAGAGATCGTCTGTCTCTGCCTCCCAAGTGCTGACATTAAAGACATACACCACCATTGCCTGGCCAGTTTCACCTTTTAGATGCCTGCTAGTAAATACTGTTATCTTTTGTTAATTAATTACTTACTTAATCTCTATTCATAAATTCTTCAAATGGCTTATACTATATTTAAATACAACAAGGCCAGTGTACTAAATCTTGCTTTTCCTTAAGTACCCTTTAAAAAAAAAAAAAATAGGGTCTCTCTAGCCCTGGCTGACCTTGGAATTCCAGCCACTGCCTCTGGAGTGCAGGAGTTACAGGTATTTGGCACCACACTAGGCTACCAGCTATCTTTTAAGACTGCCTTTTTTTATATTAAGAAAATGGAGGATCATTTATTTAAACTTATGTGACTGTGCCATAGAAAGAAATACTGGACTTTGAGAAAACAACCTTTGAAATAAACCAAGCTTCGAGCACTGAGTCTTGGCAGAAAGTCATTTGTTTTTCTTTTTTTCCCCTTTGGTTCAGTCTGGTTACTAGGCTGTGATCTTTTCTGAAGGAGATTATATGTCAGAATATTTCTCGGAGGAACCCCAAAGGTGGTTTTTTTGCCCCCCCCCCCCCCATTGCTAATAAGAACACTGGAAAGCGGAGAGGTTAAATAGCTCACTCAATGGATGTGTGGCTTCTTATTTGCAGGGGATATAATTCATTTGTTCCAGCCCGTACTTCCTTCACTGTTACAGGATTTCTTCCACTGATAATCTTTTAGGCGAGCTGTGCAATTACGTCTCTTGGACTTAGTTTTTCTAAATGTTTTTTTTTGTTTTTCTGACCAGTTCTGCAGTAGCTCTCTCTGTCTAGCCTCGCATTCACTTTGTAGGCAAGGGTGACCCTCCACTGTAGCCCGCCCTGCCTCCACCTCTGAAGTACTGGGAATACAGGCATGCTCCACTACACCTGGCTTGGTCCCGTTTTGTCTTGCTGGGCTGAGGTTGAACTAGGGCCTGTGTGCCAGGCAAGCTCTCTGCAGTGGCACCAGATCGCCTTAAGTTCATTTTTAAAAAGCAAAACTTTCCTCAGAGTTTCATAAGTCAATCTGTCTAATTTGGAGCAACATGGATGGAAAGTGAACACGCAAAAAAGTAGCAACATAGTAAATTCAATCAGGTTTCGGTTGACTCAACCCAGGGCTGTTCCCCTACATCCCTCCTTTTTTGTATTCTGTACTTGTTTTGTTGATGTTTTATGTTTTTTGTATCATATTTTGGCTTTTTAAGATGCCTCATGTAGCCCAGGCTGTCAGTGAGCTTCCTGTCTTCCTGCCTCTACTTCCCAAAGTGCTGGACTACATTTGTGCTTCCACGCCTGGCTCATGTTTCCATTTGAGACAGGGTCTCACAAAGTTGTCAAGGCTGGCCTTGAACTCAGTTTGTAATACAAACATAGCTTGAACTTTTGATCCCCCTGTCGTGCATTTTTCTTAGAAGAGTGTTTGGGCAGGTGTTTTAGATCAAAGGTAGAAAGCACTTAGCATGCATCAGTCCTGCATTTGATCCCCAGCACTGCAAAAATAATAATGATATTAATATGTGGGGCTGGGGAGATGGCCCAGTTGGTAGTATGTTTGCTGCACAAATATGGGGCTCTGAGGTTAGATCCCCAGCACCCACGTAAAAAGCCAAGTGAAAGACCTGCCAGCTAGCCTAGCTGACTCAGCAAGCCCTGGGTTCAGGGTGAGAGACCTTGCCTCAGTAAGGTGGAGAGCAATTGAGGAAAACATCCACTGTCCACCTCTGGCCTCTACACACAGGCATACCACACGCATGCTGGAGAAAGAAAAACATAAATTTAAAAAAAGCACTTGTCCCTAGATGTGACAGGTTTAGTTTCAGGTCCTGGTCTAGTATTTACTTGCTCTGAGAGTTTAGGTAAATAATTCACTGTCTGTAAACTGCAGTTTTCAGATTACAAAGCAAGACGGTAATTGTAGCTGCCTCTTAAGACTGTTGGTATGTGGTCCAGCAAAGTGCTCAGTGTGTTATTTAGCACCTGCAAGTGTTGGCAGTTTCTCTCACTCCTTTATAATGTTCTTGAGCATCAATGATGGACAAGTGGCACTTTAGCTTAGGTTTGCAAGGTAAGTGGGATTTGGAAAGGTAGAGAGCCGCGCAGAGCATGATGGAGGTGCTGGTTTTAGAGTCATTCTGCTCAGTGGAGAAGCGTTTATGAAGTGGGAAGGTTGATGGGAGTTGACACTTGAAGGGAAAGTGGAAACAAATTGGAGCCCACTAACTGGGTCTGTAAAGTTTTAGGAAAAATAACCAGAGTAAAGTATCAAGTAAATTATTGGTGGATAGGAAGAAAATAGAAATGGAGAACCAAAGAGGCCAGGCTTGAACTTAGAGTAAACAGTAAATAAGAAGACTTACTTCACTCAGGGAGTTGTATATGCATCATGTAGACTGCTTGCCTAGCATGCATGAAGTCCTGGGTTCCATCCCCAGCACTGCAGAAAACAAGGGCTCATACCCCTAATCCCAACAGTGAGGAGTCAGAGGCAGCAAGATCACAAGGTAAAGGTCATCCTCAACGACATAGGGAGGTGGAGGCCAGCCAGAACTACATTATATGAGCCTGTCTCAAAAAATAATTCACTCAGCTGGGCAGTGACAGTGCATCTATTTAATACCAGCTGAAACAGGTAGATCTCTGTGAGTTCAAGGCCAGCCTGGTTACAGAGTGAGTTCCAGGACAGCCAGAGCTGTTAAACAGAGAAACCCTGTCTCACAAAGCCAAAGTAACAATAATAATAGAAATAACAATTCCTTCTGCTTCTGGAAGAGTCAGTGCATTAGAGGAGGGAGGAGTCAAAGAAGGTTAGATTAATTCAAGGTCCAGAGGGTGAGATACCAGTGGGCCACCTCCCAGGGCTACTCACTGTTCAAGAAGAGGTGAGGGGAACTGAAATAACAGGGATGGTTCTCCCCATGCATACAGCTCAGCTCCTCCTCTCCTTGTTTAAGCTAGACTCACCAGAAGGTAATGTGCATTTTGAAGAGTGAGTAAAACATTGGCTGACAGAGTTAATAAATGGAGTGGGTATTGGCCACAGGAGTGATGCCATTGATCACAGTCCATGCGTGGGTCTGTGTAACTACAACTAAGGGGGTGTAGTACTAACAGGAAGAGGCAGCAAGGCTGGAATAGAGGAGTAGAATGTGTCCTAAAGTGGGAAAGCTGAAATGGTTTGTATCAGAGACTCGTGGAGTGTAATCAAGGAGAACAGAAGTGTCCTCTAACAATGCTACACTCACTGACCTTTGTGTGTTGTGTGTACTGGGATGGAAAGAAATGATCAGTGAACTGAAACAACTGAAAACAAAACAGCATGTGGAGAACAGCCACCGAGAGCTAGTGTGATGGCTCAGCGAGTAAAGGAGCTTGCCGCCTACCTAGCCTGGTAGACCTGAGTTCAATCCCCCAGACCCACGTGGTAGAAGGAGACTCTCGAAAGTTGCCTTCTGACCTCCCATAGCTCGATGTGCATGTTTGAGTACACACAAATATCTGCATGTGGTGACAGTTGAATAGCATGGGCCCCTAGCAGTGGGATCACACAGGAGGATTGTAGTCGTCATGTTCAGCAAGTCTGTTCGTTTTTCCGTGGTTTTTTCAAAATTAACCCAACCAGTATTTGTTGAATACTACAAACATGGTGGTAGGGATTGCAAATCACATAATTGCCCCTACTTTTAGTAGTAGAAGAAACAAATACAATAGCAGTACCCTAACCAAGTGTAAGGTCCCTTTTTGCACATTTAGTCATGTTTGGGGAGGTCAGAGGGTGGCTTGCTGGAATTGTTTGCCTCCTTCCGTCCCATGGATACTAGGGAAAGAACCTGTATCCTCAGGCTTGGCAATTAGAGCTTAACCACAGAACCATCTCCCCAGTCCCTCCTGTGTACGATTTGAAGTGTCATGAAGCATTTAGGTTCCCAAAAATCTGACCAGTTCTTGCAGACTAACCAGAAAGTTGAGGCTTCTTATTACTAATGACTTCAATACCAACCTGGGGAGATAGCTGGCTCATCGGGTAAATAAATGTACTTGCCACCAGGCCTGATGACCTGAGCAATCCCTAAGACAGGCAAGACAAATTTCCATTGAAATTCTTCATTTGGAAAATTTTTAAAGAGTTAGAAAATAGTCCCAAGCTTGTTTCTCAAAGGTTTCTTTATTTGTGAGTGCCCTTACTCATGTGTATGCCAGGTAGGTAGATTTTCATCTGTGCTGTGGGTCTGGTGCTCTTCTCTTCAGGCCTCCTTGGACACCTGAACATACGCGGTGCACATAAACTCACACAGGCACACATACACACACACAAATAATTGTTTTCAAAAAGGTTGTACGAATTAAAGATGAGTTCCAGAGGCAGGTGGTGGTGGTAGTGGTGATGCATACCATTAATCCCAGCAATGAAGAGGCAGAGGCAGGCAGATCTCTGGGAATTCAAGGCCATGGTCTACAAACTGAGTTCCAGTCTGCCAAAAAAAAAAAAAAAAAAAAAAAAGATGATTTCCAAGGTCACTGATTCCAGGTTTTCTTTTCCCTTTTTTTTTTTTTTTTTTTTTTTCTGGCAGTTAGCATTTCATAACAATAGTAATACTTCATTTTATAATCATTATTTCCAGACATTTTTCTTCTTCTTTTGTTGGTACCATGCATTTAGCCCTTCCTCGATTGTACTGGATAAGCACTCTGATACTAAGATATATCCACAGCCCTACTCACACATTTTAAAAGCCGCCTGTTTCCTGGCCATTGGTGCTTCTTATTTTGGTGTAGGTCAGCATTGGGTTTTGTCTCTTGCATGACAGAGCTCTTGCTCTCAGCAGAGCTTCAGCTGTGCCGTTCTTTTGTTTTTACATCATGAGCCCTCTGATTACAGTCTCCCTATGTCTTTAAAGTTGCCAGTCTCTCTTATGAACAGGAGATTAGGTGGCTAGATAGTGTAGTTAGCTATTTTGCATAATATAGCTCAGATAAGCAAGGGAACATCACAGAATCCAAAACTGAGCAAGCAAATTGAGAGGAGAGGTTCTTCCCTTGGGATGTAAGGTACCTAATGTGGAATGTGACCAAGTGACCTCTTTGTAGATTAAAATATGACTTAATTTTGCTCACTTTTTTGTAGCGGGGGTGGGGGGGTTGGTTTTGGTTTTCAGAGCTGGGGTTTCTCTGTGTCTCCCTGACTGTCCTGGGGCTTGATCTGTAGACTAGGCTGACATTGAACTCAAGAGATCCACCTGCCTCTGCCTCTGCCTCCTGAATGCTGGGCTTAAAGGTGTGTACCAGGCTGGTCTGGAACTGTTCTAAGGTTGAATTCCTGATTCTCTGCCTCTCAAGTTCTCAGATTATAGTCTTCTACACTTGCCTATTCCTACAAGCCCTGTCTATGCCCCTCCCCCTCTCCTCCTCTATCACTTTCTCCTTCCTTTCTCTTTCTCTTAGAGGAGTCTCAGGTGTCCCACGCTGACTCCTAATGTGCCACATAGCTGAGGATGACCTTGAACTCCTGATGGTCCTAGATGCTAGGATTACAAGTGTGTGCACCATACCTGGTTTATGGAAAGCTGTAGAGGACCCTTGGCCTCATGTGTGCATGCTGGGCAAGGTCTTTGCAGACTATGCCAGATCCCCAGCCCTCACTTTTAAAATAGATGCTCTGACACTTGCTTTGTGTATTTGATATGGCAACTGCAGCCTTAGACCCACTGCGGCACTCATAAAGTAATAAAAGTAGCTAGATGGTGCATTAGCAAGTCTTGTCTTCAATTTTGGCTTCAGTGTTAGGAACACGTCTGCCCATGAGAATATTAAGCATTCTAAACCTCACTTATATTGTCTGTATACAGAAAATAATATTTTTTTTTTTTTTTTTTGCCTGCTAGGCTTGAGTGGTGGTGAGGTAGATGGTACTTACATGTGCTATGCTTAACCTAGCCCTTGGCACTCACTGGACTAAACATTGTAAATGTCCCCATTTTGTGATTTGCTCTCTCCCTGGAAGGACATTGCTCTGACTAAAGGCAAACACCCTGAGGATAGAGGCCACCCGTAGAAGGCTTCTATTTGCAAACCTTGATATTAGAAGTAATACCAAGGCCAATGCAGCTCTATGGTGGTTTTATTCCTTTATGTTTAGAAGCATTCTTAGTGTCTTGATGTGTAGCCTTATATGAAGTAGCACAGGTCACTCTGTATATGCACACATATGAGCATTCTCATATATGTGTGGGTACATATGGGAGCCAGAAGACAGTCATGGGGGCGTTATTTCTCAGGTACTGTTCATCTCACTTTCTTTTCATTGGTTTTGTTTGTTTGTTTGTTGTTATTTGTTTTATTTTTGTTGTTATTTTCAAGACAGGGCTTCTTTGTTTAGTTTTGACTGTCCTAGAACTAGCTCTGTAGACCAGGCTAGCCTCGAACTCACAGAGATCTTCCTGCCTCTGCCACCCTAGTGTTGGGGTTAAAGGCGAGTGCCACTACTCTGTTTTTGAGGCACCCACTAGCCTGGAGCTCATCGAGAATGCTAGACTTTTGAGCTGAGCAGCCACTTTTCTCTGTTTCCAGGTCACTTTAAAACATGTCTCACCATTTCTTTTTCCTTTAGGAAGTAGTGCAGAAAGCAATAGGAAACAGTTGCTAGGACGGAAATTCCAGCCTGACCTGTTGGACCCCACCACTTCCCTGAGCCTGAATGATGACTGCCGAGTCAAGGGAAGCCACCGGTCTGTCACCACAGGCTGCACAGGAGAAGGATGGCATAGTCATCGTGAAGGTGGAAGAGGAAGATGAGGAAGGCCACATGTGGGGGCAGGACTCCAGTGTGCAGGAGACACCACCGCCCGACCCAGAGGTGTTCCGCCAGCGCTTCAGGCGCTTCTGTTACCAGAACACTTTTGGGCCTCGAGAAGCTCTGAATCGACTAAAGGAACTTTGTCATCAGTGGCTTCGACCCGAAGTCAACACCAAGGAACAGATCTTAGAGCTGTTGGTGCTGGAGCAGTTCCTGTCCATCCTGCCCAAAGAGCTGCAAGTCTGGCTTCAGGAGTACCGGCCTGACAGTGGAGAGGAGGCCGTGACTCTTCTAGAAGACTTGGAACTTGATCTGTCAGGACAGCAGGTAAAAAGAGGGCACCTGTTGTGTATAAGAAGGGTATGGGCTTAGGAGCTGGCTTAGAGCGGAGTGTTGGGAGTGTTTGGGCAGTTGTTCTTGCTCTTCTGGGCTCTTTCAAAGAATTCTGGGGAATCAGCAGTATAGCTCAGTTCTAGAACATGTGTGGTACTCTGGGTTCAGTGGCTGACCACGGTGGTGGTGGGGGGGGGTGGCTGCATCCATTTACTTTAATATTTCTAATTCCTGTTTTAAAAGTAATTTACTAGGCCAGGCATAGTGCTTCGTGCATACAACCCTAGTTCTTGAGATGCTGAAGCAGGAGTAGGAGTAGGCGTTCAGGCCAGAAGTTTTATCCAGAAACTGTTTTCCTCCCCCAGGTCCCAGGTCAAGTTCATGGGCCTGAGATGCTTGCCAGGGGGATGGTGCCTCTGGATCCAGTTCAGGAGTCCTCAAGCTTTGACCGTCATGAAGCTACCCACTCTCACTTCAAGCATTCATCTCGGAAACCTCGCCCTTTGCCATCCCGAGGTAAGAAGCTGGGTTCGCTCATAGAAGAAAAGGAAATATTCAGGTTAGAGGCGTGGCACAGTTGGTAGAGTGCTTGTCCCTCGTACATGAGGGCACTCGGTTCCATCCCCAACATTGCATGAAACGAGGCATGGTGGCACGCTCCTTTAATCATAGCCTTCCGGAGACAGAAGCTGGTGGGTCTCTTGAGTTCAAGGACTGCTTGGTAAATATAGTGAGTTCCAGGCCAGCCATGACCTCAAATTGAGACCCCCGACTCAAAAGCAAAACAAAAGAACAGGCATGATACACACTTGTAACACTCGGGACAGTAGGTTCAGAATTTCAGGGTCATCCTTAACTGCACAGCAAGTTTAAGGTAAGCCCTGGTCAGCGAGGGGACCAGACTTTGCCCACACCCCCTCTAGACAAAAAAGGATGGGGAGGCTGGGTGGTGGTGGCGTGCACCTTTAATCCCAGCAGAGGCAAGCAGATCTCTGAGTTCAAGGCCAGCAATTCCAGGAATGCCAAGACTGTTATGCAATAAAACTCTGTCTTGGGGAAGAAAAAAAAGGATGGGGAAAAAGGGCAAATAAATGATCTAAGATGGAAGTGCCTCTCTCCATGTTACCAGGTAACCTCATAGAGAAGCATGCTTGCTTGGTTATTATGCCTTTTTATGACAGCATAGCTCACAGACTCATCTTAGGCTGAAATGTTGTTTATTAAGGAGGTAAGTGGACTATGTACCATGTCCTTGGTGAGCATTACATCACCTGTTGAACTGTGTGCATTCCAGATGTCCAGCAGAGTTCTGAGTGGAGAGTGTTAGAACAAATGGTATATTATTTCCAGACTTAATGGTTTGAGACATGATCTTATGTAGCCTAAGGCTGACTTCTAACTCCTAGTCCTCCTGCTTCAGTCTCCTAAGTACTGGGATTATAGGTATATACCACCAGGCCTGGCTTCCAGCCTGGGTGTTTCTTAAATAATCTTGTAGGGATTGTAAATCATTCTAACAGGCTTCTTTTTTTTGGGGGGGAGGTGTTTGTTTTGTTTTTTCTAGACAGTTTCTCTGTGCAGTCCTGACTACTAAAGATACATTTATTTAAATATATAAAATGTTTTTTAACATTCTTTAAACTTTTCAAAGGGAAGAGAAGAATAGGAATAAGAACAGTTTTCTTTTTGGCTGAGGAAACGAGAACAATGCTAGTTTAGGATTTCTATAAAAGTCTATTACATTTGGTTGGTTTCTCGGTCCACCTTACAGAAATAGACTTTTTTTTTTTTTTTTTTTTTTTTTTTTTAAATAAAGCAGGTGCATAGAATATCAGAACAATTGCCAAAGGTGTAATTATTGGAGGCTAGAGAGGTAGCTCAGCAGTTAAGAGATCTTGCTCCTGCTTCAGGGGATCTGATCCCTTTTTCTGGCCTTCAGGAGCACCTGAGCACTGGAAGGAACACACACACACACCCACACACACCTTTTTTTTCTCTTTCTTCTTTAGTTATTATGTATACAATATTCTGCTGGTATATATCCCTGCAGACCAGAAGAGGGCACCAGATCTCATTACAGATGGTTGTGAGCCACCATGTGATTGCTGGGAACTGAACTCGGGACCTCTGGAAGAGCAGCCAGTGCTCTTAATTTTTCCAGCCCCACATCTTTTTTTCTTTAAGTTTGTTACAGAATTACAGAAGAGTTAAAGTCTGTTCCTCACCAGTGTCTTTGTGAGGTTGTTGAGAGGGGGACTGTTAGAGGGTAGAGCCTAAGGAAGCATTTTTTTCTCCCAGGCGTCCTGGAAGACAGCCAGCAGCCTTGTGCAGCTGTAAATGTTTAACTCCACCTGTGTCAATTCCCTTTGGGACTCTAGAGTACTCCACAAGCAGGTTATAGCGGTGTCACTGGGTGTCAGCTGGGGAGGACACCCAAGCTCCAAGCACCAGATTGTTGCTTCAGGTAGTTAGGGAAGCAGTTTTAGAGACTGCAACTAGAGTTACTAAATTGTTCTTGAATGAATTAAGACAAGGCTTTGTTCTCAGTTTCCTCTCTGTCTTGTCTATCTTCCAGTGTCCTAACTCTGAGAAGGCCTAAGTGTTAGGGTCTTGTTCTTTTGTGTTTTTCACCTCACAGGTGGAAACTGCTAGAAGGTGTAGTGATTCAGTGGGCTCTGTGTGTGATCCTTTGTAGCTGGTACCATCCTCTGTCTACCAGCAACATTTCCAAATCTAATGAGTCTTGACAAAGGGTGGGGAAGTGAGAAATTTTAATGTAACAGTTGAGTTTTTTTTTTTTTATTCTTGTTACTCATTGCATACAGTCTATGCTGTTACAGTTGTCTTTTGTTATGTGTGTTGATCCATTCCTTCCTGCATTTGCATGTCTCGTCAACACTTGAACAGAGTGTATGTTTTATCAAAAAGCTATCATGGCCAAATAAGATGGGGAAAGGGTCAGAATGACAGAAATGTACTTAGAAGTATGAAGGTCCCTTCTTCCTCTTTCATGCCCAGTGTACCTGTGATCTTGAAGATGTCTTGTCTACAAGTACAGGCAGAAAGAGGAGTCTAGTACCTGGTGCTGCTTTTGTGCTGGAGAAAGTAAGAGCTACTAACAAAAGCTGAGACTAGGGACCTGGGTTTTGGACAGGATCTACCTTTCTAAACTGAGTGATGTTACATGGTCATTGCCCTCTTCAGGGCTTCATTTTCTCCTTTTAAAGCTTGGACCTGGTGATTTTAAGAACCCTTTTATGAGCTCTGTGTGTTTCCGATTTAAGAGTAGAGGTCTCTGGGAAGCTGAAGTTTTGCTTCATATCAGTGATATCCTGGGCTATCTTTTTAGTAACTAAACATCAGATAGTGAATATGCTGGTATAGGAAGGAGAATGCCAGGGCTCTTCACAGAGAGGCTCAGAGAAGAGCTGTTTTACTCACAGCCCCTTTCTCCTCCTCAGCTCTCCCTGCCACCCACGTTCCTGCCCCTCATCATGAGGGGAATCCCAGAAACCAAGTGATGGCATCTGCACTATTGACCGCAGATTCCCAGGTGAGCCATGGGCCCCTCTTCCCTCCTGAGACCCTGTATCTGCCCTTTTCTGGAGCATCTCTTATTAGCCTCTACCAGGTCCCTTGCTCTTGGTACCCACAGAAAAACCGTACTCCCCTCAGTGTTAGTGTCCTCCCACCATAACCCTTCAGTCCACCAGGGTCTGGCCATGTGTTCTCTTCTAATGTCCCAAAGTCCTGCCTTCAGCTCTGTCCCTTACCTCAAGTTTGCTGAGTGTGGGGATCTCCTGTTATTTCAGGCAATGGTGAAGATCGAGGACATGGCCGTGTCCCTCATCCTGGAGGAATGGGGATGTCAGAACCTGGCTCGGAGGAATCTCAATAGGGACAGCAGGCAGGAGAATTTGGGGAATGTGTTTTCCCAGGGTAAGATTGATGCAGAATTCCTGTCTGCTAAGATTGTTTTACTTCTGTGTTGGTTAGCAAGGAATAACATTTGTGTTCATTGAGTTCCAAAAATGTGGTACTCTAACACCCTAGTGCCTTGAGGTTTGTTACCTCTAGGTCATTCTGGTCTTTGAAACCAGCAAACTTTTGTGCTGAATCTCTCAGTTCCCTGGGAGGGTTCTTTCTGCTCTGGTGCTTCTGCTAGCCTCTGTCTTAATAGAAGTAGCCAGGCAAACTGACCGCCAGTTCAGTTCCAGCCCATTTTTACCATGTTCCCAAATTTACCAAGACATCCATCCTGCCTGGATGTCTGTCTCTTTCTACTGTGTAGAAATTACTTGGTCTTCATGTTGCCATCCTCTAGCCAGGTTCTCAGGTCCAAACCCAATGTTGATCTTCTGTGAAGAACTCTTTGGGGCTAAGAATGCAAGAAGAGTGGAGTAATTCAAGGGGCATCAGACAGATAAAATGACCCATCCAGCTGACAACTGTTGTGTGAGCCTCTTAAGCCCTAAGACACAGTGCCACCAGAAGGCCACAGGAAATTTCATAGCAAGAACTACACCTTGGGTAGGCAGAGGAAGGATGAGCAAAGTGGGTGTGGAGAAAAGGTTTTACTGGAGAAGCTCAGGTTTGGTTTGAAAACTTCTGTAAAGGGGAGGATGGTTTTTAGGTATTTGTTCTTTATTCTGAATAGAAATTAAGAACTGGTCTTTGTTTATAAGCTATCACTGCTAGAACCTTTGAAGGAAAAACAAAAGGAACACTCTTGAGAGCTGTCCAGCTAGTCAAGGACCTTTGTTTGGGATTCAAAAGAGGTAAACCAGCTTTCTCTTCTCAGCAGTTAGCACAGTAATTATGGTGATTTCATCAATAAGTCAAAGATTAAGTATTGCCATTTCTAGTCACAGCATTCAGGAGCCTGCTGGGATGGTGCAGATCCTCTTGGAGTCTTCACTTAAAAGTAAAATGAGGGGCCAGTGGGGGCGGTTCAACAGGAAAAGGAAACTTGATGCCAAACCTAACAACCTGAGTTCAGACCCAAAACCCACATGTGGAAAGGAGGAAACTGAATCTCACAGGTTGTATTCTGACCTCCACATATACATGGTTCTCTCTGTCTCTGTCTCTCTCTCTCACACACACAAACACACACACACTAAATAAGTAAATAAAAATTTTAAGAGGTGCTAAGGGGCACAAGAGATGACTGAGCAGTGAAGAGCACTGGCTGCTCTTCCAGAGGACCCATGCTCAATTCCCAACACCCACATGATCACTCACAGCCTTCTCTTACTCCAGATAGAAGCGATCCAAGCCCTCTTCTAACCTCTGCCAGCAAAACACCCATACACACACACACACACACACACACACACACACACACACCTTGTTGTTGTTTTTAAACAGTGATACATGGAATATAGTAGAATACAATAAAAATTAAACTTCAGAATTTTAGTATACTGGCTGTTATATATAATACAGAGATTAACTCTGCACTGTAAAATTTGTTTTCTGGTTCTTCTGATTACAGTCTCATAAATTGATTCTTTCCTGTAAGTTTCGGCTATCAGTTGGTGAAGAATTAAGCTATTTTGGTAATGAATCCCCAGATAGCTCCTTCATCCCTTCTCTGTTACAAGAACTCAGGAAGCTTCTGTGATATTCTTCCTGGTGGAGAAAAACTGCTTGCTGTGTCAAGGGGCTCCATAATTTACTGGGTTCAGGGCTCCTTCTTACCTGCTAACTATCTCCTTGTTGATAAAGTATGACAGAATTGGGGAGTGTCTGTGTTGGCTTCTCTACTAACATCACTAAACCAATTCCTCAGAATTACTTGCCTCTTTTTGTAAGACTTAACAAATATTTCTTACAATTATATTTTATTTTGGAGACAAGTTCTCATTGTTTAGTCCTGGCTGGCCTGGAACTCACAGGAATCTGCCTGCCTCTTCTCTGGTGCTGGGATTAAGCTCACAATGTGACTTATTTTTCTTACTTACAGAGTCTCTATGTAGCCCTGGGTGTCCTTAGAACTCCATATAGAAAAGACTGGCCTTAAAATCCCAGAGATCTGCTTGCCTTTGCCTTCAGAGTGTTGTGATTATAGGCATGTACCACCATAGCCGACTGTGACTTGATAAATGTTTTCTTTCAAATTAGTTATCAGGTGACCATACAATAGAGCAACCCCTGAAGCTTCTCAATTTCTTGTCCTTTCTTTCCTTAACTTTCTCTGCTCAATCCTCACCATGCCACACTTGTTTACTCACATCCTTTACATCCTTTTCACTCTGGTTTTTTTGTTTGTTTGTTTGTTTGTTTGTTTGTTTTCCTCTCTTTGAGATAGATCTTGCTATGTAGCCCAAACTTGTCTGTCACTAGTAATTCTTCTGCCTCAACCTATTGAATGTTGGGTGTGCACCACTATGCCTGGCCTAATACTATGCTTTTCCAGCATCCTATTGTTGGTAAATTTTTCCCTTTTTCTACTTTTATCTATAATGCTATGAAGTTATTTCCCCAGGTATATAGACGTTTCTTAGAAAATAATATCTGTATTCAGAAGAAAATGGTGCTATTCATATTTTCTATTTATTGGTCAGGTTCTGAGAACAGAAATGGGAAAGAGTCAACCTCAAAGGCTGAAGTCAAAGAAGATTCCACCTCACATGGGGAAACAGCAGGAAGAGTCCAGAAAGATTTTGGAGAGAAACGTGAACAACAGGGCAGAGTAGTTGAAAGGACTACTCTTTTTCTTCAGAGGAACCCTGAAGAAAAAACTGGCAAAGAGAAGAAAGAGCCTGGGCCACCCACAGCCAAGGAAAAAAAGCCCACTGCAGGAGAAAGAGGCCCAAGGGAGAAGGGCAAAGGTCTGGGAAGAAGCTTCAGCCTGAGTGCAAACTTTAATAACACCTCCGAAGAGCTTCCATCGGGAGCAAAGACTCATAGGTGTGATGAGTGTGGGAAATGCTTCACAAGAAGCTCCAGCCTTATCCGCCATAAAATCATCCACACTGGAGAGAAGCCCTATGAATGTAATGAGTGTGGGAAAGCCTTTAGTCTCAATTCAAACCTTGTCCTACATCAGCGAATCCACACAGGAGAGAAACCTCATGAATGTAATGAGTGTGGGAAAGCCTTCAGTCATAGCTCAAATCTCATCCTGCACCAGCGCATCCACTCTGGAGAGAAACCCTACGAATGTAATGAGTGTGGCAAAGCCTTCAGCCAGAGCTCAGACCTCACGAAGCACCAGAGAATCCACACAGGGGAGAAGCCCTATGAATGTAGTGAATGTGGAAAAGCTTTCAACCGAAACTCATACCTTATTTTGCACCGGAGAATTCACACTCGAGAAAAACCCTACAAGTGCACTAAATGTGGCAAGGCCTTTACCCGGAGCTCAACCCTCACCCTGCACCATAGAATCCATGCCAGAGAGAGAGCCTCAGAATATAGTCCAGCCTCTCTGGATGCCTTTGGAGCATTCCTGAAAACTTGTGTGTAAAGCAATAGTGTGTCACCAAACCATTTCCCCTCTTTTGTTTCTAAAATTATGTCAGACTTATGTGCCCATCAAGGGAAAAGTAATTAACACCATCAAATTGTTTGAGAAGTCACATGTAAGGAGCCTTAAGAGTTACATCGACAGTGTTCTGCCCTTGGGGGGGTCTGTAGGCATGTAATTCTTAAAGTCCTTACAAGGGAAAGCTGGTCATGTGGATATTCTTTAGGCTATTTCCACTCGAGATAAAAGCACACACAGTGAAATGCCAAGCTTTCCAGTAGTGGATGTACGAATCAAGACTGGCTCTGTGAATACTAAACTGAAGTTAAGAAGCCACTTATTGCCAACAAGTCCTGCTCAGACAACCTATATTTCTCAATGAAGAGAGATGGTTAATACAAAAACTACATTGGGACATGCTGCTCAAGCAAGTTATATATCCAGATCTGATATATATCTGATCACTGGTAGCCTGCCAAAGCTATAGAAATCTAGGACTGCTGATCAGAATCAAACCAAAGATTTCTATCTCTCTGAAAGAGGGTATATGCACCAGTTTGTAGTTCTAAGGACTGTAACGGATGTGGATGGCTATGCCATCATTAGCAAGGTCAGTCTTACTGAAACAGCAACAATTCAAGATGCTTCTCTCCCTCTTCAATGTCCCTAAAGCACTGTAGCACTCCTAAATGCACTCTCCACAAGTTAGCACTTGATTATATACCATCTTTTAATCCTCCATCGTTCAGTGTATGGAAGCTTTTATCAACCCCACCCCACCCCCCCAAAAAAAAAGATGCTTTAGTTGTCAAGAAGTACAGTTATGTTCCTGACAGCACAGCATTGGATGTAGTACTAAACACACACAAGGCACTCTTTATGACAGACTTCCAACAGGACTATCATATTTGTGATAGAGCCTGTGAATCCTGAGTACCTGAAATTCGGTACCTTCAGAGCTATGCTCTAACTTATTCTAGGGTCAATGTTATTTTTGTCCTAAATATAAGCAAAAAAAACTTGCTTAGCTGCCTGCAAAAAGACTCTGTAAACATGGATCAACAAGTAAATGCCACAGAATATCAAAAAGTGACTTCTTGTCATCCACTTACAGAAGAAAAGTATGAACACTAATATAACGTTTTTTGTTTGTGTGTGTGACATCATTCCACGCAAAGCCAGAATTCTTTTCGGTCGGCTGCTTGAATGGTTGTCTTTTGAGCACTTGCTGAGTTATTCAAAATTTAGCTAATCCTCTTATGGGTTTTTGTTGTTACTGCTCTTTTATTGGTTTTTGTTTTTAAGTCTTAGAAAAAGGGAGTTAAAGAGAGCATTTTTTCCACATTTGACCAGAAACTTGCAGAAGCATCTGTCGTCATTAGCTGGCGGTAGCTGAAGGTGTCCTTTCACTCTTAGAAGTTCATCACCACACTGTGGCTTGGTCGGTTGTTTCATTGTGTTTAGTAGCATACGGCATCTTTATCTCTCAAGAAAGACTGAAGTGAGATTAGGGGACTTTTAGCCTTCCCATATATCTCTGCAGGTGGCTTCCCAGAAGCTCTTGATGGAGACTTAATACAACAGGAGACCCAAATCTGGACTACGTAGGTGTTGGGGGCTTGAACATGCAAGTGTAGAGAGCCCTGAAGAACCCTAGGAACATAAGCTAAAGACAAATATGAAGAGTTAACGTGAATACCCCCACATACGGTTTGAGATTTCCCCTCAAGAAACAGCTAAAGTCATCTAGCACCAATTGTTCTCTGACCAGCTGCAAAGTTCATGAGACAAAATAGCAGCTCTTATCAGGTTGGTGCCTGTGTGGCCTCAGCTTGAGGTCCATGTGATATTATCTGGTTCCTCTTTGGCTTTATTTCTTAGACTAGTCACACACAAGTGACGGTGTCTGAACATGTTTCCTCCATGCTGCCTATGAGTGTTCCTGTCCACCCAACTGAAAAGCAGCAGAGCTGCTCTGAAGGTTACACTGGCTCACTCTGGAGTGAGGCCGAGGTGGAGATGCTTTAAAGGCTCTTCCTAAAGGAATGAGTCATGATGATGGTGGACTTATGTGAGAACTCTGGCTTGCTAAAAAGCAACTGAAAGAAGGTTCAGGACTCCCAGAGCCCATTCAGACACTGACTTTGATCCCAAGAAAGGACTTTGGTCATTTCTCTGTTGGCTACTTCTACACAGACATACACAACTACGTACTGATATATTTAGGCCATCACTCTAAGGCCTTGTTTTTGAATGAAATTAAGACAGACCTGTGTCCCCCATCCCTCATTTGATTCCCAATTTATTGGGACATTTAATATTAGATAGTCCCTGGAGTGGCTTCAGATCTTCCACAGGTACACTCCATTTAAAGATGCGTTTTACTTAGAAATCAGGCTGGAGAGTGGTATGGAAACTTCTTTGATGCTCTGCATAGTGTCACTGCGGCATGATCCAAAAGGCTGACATCTGTAGTGCTCAGAATGGTTGTTACCAGTTAAAGTCCTTACTAGTTAACTATTAGCATGCCAGTTGACCTGATGGGACTTTTTTTTTTTTTTTTTTTTTTTTTTGAAAACTTTAAGTGAAATTTAACCTTATGACAAAAGTCAGATGCTTCAAATTGTGGACTTTCTACTTCAGCCTGGTAGGCAAGGCTAAGCATAGATGTGTGAGACAACTTGATGTGTAAAGCACTTGATATTAGAGGCATAAACGTGAGACTGCTAAATGTCTGTAGAGAGACTGACATGTTTAATACGTGGAACAGTCCACACCCTACATACATCAGAAAATTGATTCCAGAATGGGACCTAGAGTGTGATGTTTGGCAAAGGTTACACTGTAAATAAACTCTTAATGTCTGTGAGGCCAACTTGATAGTACTCATTCTTTGGACATGAAATTCCCTTGGTCTGTTCCAGTCATGCAGTAAGTTCCAGAAACTGCCAAGAAAGCTCAGTCTTAACTCCAGAGGATCCACAAGAGGAAACAAGAGTGGGGAAATGCTAAAGAAATAGTAAGAATGTTCAACTTACAGAACTAATTAACTTGGGTACCTCGATCTGTTTTGTAAGGCCATAATGTCAGTGTGTTTTTGTACCTTATCCCTCCTGTCATTCTCTGTCATTCTTTATAGTCCTTGTAAACATGTGTTCCAATCTGTGCAACAGAATGCATCACTTGGGGGAAAAAAGTGAAGTTTTGTCGTAATTAAGAAACTGATGTGGCTATAAACGTAATTAGTTCAGAATTAGGTGTGGAGGAAAACTTCTTGGGCTGGTGCTTGTTGAGTCAGTAGAAAAGTTTGAGAATAGGTCAGTAGAACATGAAAGTGGAGTGACTTGTGTAAATGGCCCTTCCAGGCTGCCTGGTCCGTATTAACCAGAGGGCATGAGTGCGTCCTGCCTTGGCAGTGGGCAGAGGGTCTTCTCCATTGTTAATATATTTGAGGGGAACACACGCTCGACGGAGGATAGGAAGTATACAGAACAGCTTATCTGCAGGTTCTGTGAACTATAGTACCACAATTCTGTTTTCCCTCTCAGAAATCATCTGTGCTTAAGACAAGTGGGGACTCAGTAGCAGGAAGGGCTCCTTTCCAGGAAACATGCTTGGGGCTTGGCGGAGAGGCGGGGGCTGTCTCAGAGTTTGAGAAGCATTGTGAGATTTGCTTTGTCTCTACGTCAAGGTCCTGTCCTTGCTCCCATTCTTTGGCACATTTATGCTTAGGAGACAGTGTTTGAATATTTATTAATTTAAGTGTTTATCCTCGAATTGTCAACTTTATTCCCAGTAGACATGCTCATCTGTTTATCAAAAGGGAACTTAATTAGGTTCATCTTGCCATCCTCATGGAAGATTAATTCTGTCCTTTGGAGTGACGATGCTGAAACCTCAACAGTAAGCTTGCCAACAAGAGCCATTTTCTGTGTCCCATTGTGAGCAATTCTCAGAAGACTGTATGAGGGAGGGCTAGGGATGTGGTTCTATCCTCAGCACTGCATCAAAAGGATGTGGTAGCACATGCCTATAATTCCAGCACTTGGGAGATAGAGGCAAGAGGATCAGAGTTTGGGATTTTCCTGTTATACAGCAAGTTTGAGACCAGCCTGAACTGCAAGAGATCCTACTTAAAAATATAACTATATCTTTAAGGGACCCAGGCTTAGTGGTGCAGGCCTGTAATCCCAGCACTCGGGAGGCTGAGACAAATTACAAGTTCACAGCCAGCCTGTGTCAGAAATAAGAAAATGTTGGGGTCCCCTATTAGGGAAGCAAAGGTCTGAATTGGATGAAATATACAATCAGGCAAACTTAAAGGGTATAAATAGATACAGAAGTAGATTTTTATTTCAGCTACTATTAGAGACAATGAGTATTGTTGGAAAAGTTTTCCTAACAGATTTAGGCTTTACTCTTCATATGGAAACACTACTGTACATATTAAAGCAGTTACTTATTTTGCTATTCAGATATTTTTATCATGTCTGAAAATAACCTGTTTTGCTTTTCAAAACTTTATAAAAACAAACTTGAAGTTATAGGTAAGGTAAGCCATCTCCAATACTGCAGGTCAAACATATGTCTGGGAAATCATTTTGCCATCCCATAATAACTAATGTCTTAATATGAGAAGTTAGTTTCATGTTGTCTGGTTCTCTTTCCTAGTTGATACCAATCTTATGTTTTTCTCTAGTCTAAACAGCAGGATGGAGAGAGTGAAGGTTAGCCAGCTCTGAACCATGATCCCAAATGGAGAGACAGTGAGTCATGGTCTGCTGTAATTTTGAGTTCTGGTTTTGGGGGATTTTGTTTTTAAATCTTGGAGGTTATGATATGCCCCCTCCCAAAAACTGACTCAACTTCAAATTAGTCATTAGCCAAATTAATGGTCTCGGTTCACAAGCACTTGTTAAATAAATATGGTCCAGTGCTTGAAGAAACAATGAGGTGTGTGGGAGGTTGGACCAAAACTTGTATTTCATTCCAGTTTGAGACAGGGGTTAAGTCCTTTGGGTCCACACCAGGATGATAAGTCACACTGAGTCTCACTTAATGCTGTAAGTCTCCTGACAGATGGATGTGTTACAAAAGAATGGCCAAGAGAGTTCCAATACCCTTATGACCTGCTAAGAACGTGCTGAGGGCAGGGACACTTAGTGGGGTGGGGGAAATGCTTGCTTGCCTTCCTTCCTCTTAATTGGTAACAGCTTGACATTTCTAGTCTGCCCCAGCTGGACTGGGAGTGTGAGAGTTAACCCAGAATCTCTTGGTGAGAGGTGTGGCTCAGTAAAGAGCATTTACTTAAAGTGTGAATGACCCTAGAATGTGGTGCTGTGCTTCCTTAGAATTCCCTAGTGAGGAGTTAGGGATGTGCTTAGCAGAAGAGCCTTTGCTAGGATATCCCAATAATAGGCTATGATGTGGCTCAAGAGTAGAGCAATTGCCTAGCATATGCAAGGCCCTGAATGCAATCTCCAGTATTGCCCCTGCCCAAAAGAAATGCTTCTGCTGATATCAGGAGTTACCAGCTTACTGAAACTCATGGGGTGTGGGTGGAAGATTGTGATTAAACAAATATCCTGTCCTGAGAGTATGAGTGTTATGGGTCAGGGAGGTTATGCAAGCAAAAACAGTTGAGTATTTTTATAAACTTTTAGTTGAAGATTGTTACAACCAGGACAACATGATAGACATAAATCTATAGTTAACTCAGGCACTATCTTTGTGTTTATGGGCTAGATAACCCATCCTGTTTCATCCATTCCTAGCTTATATTAGCATCATTAGACCCAAAGAAGAAACTTCGTGTTCAGCAGAATGAAATCATTGCTATTAAGAATGGGATCTTTGACTTGACCAGCCTCTGACGAGTCCAGATGCTTAGTAGATGTTCAATAAATGATTTTAAATGGAATTTGTTTTAAATCCTCATTCATATTTCTATAAAGGCTCCTTTTCACTGGGCGGTGATGGCACACGCCTTTAATCCCAGTGCTGGGAGGCAGAGACAGGCGGATCTCAGGTGAGTTTGAGGCCAGCCTGGTTTACAGAGCGTGTTCCATGACAGCCAGAACTATTACAGTGAGGGGGGTGAGGGGAGGGCAGGGGAAGCTCCTTTTGCTAAATAATGGAGTTTAGGAGAAAAATTAGGAGAAAAATGGGCCTTTAGGAATTCTTTGTTTTCCTTTAAGCTAGAGAACTCTTTCCAAATAACATGAAGCATTGGTTGAGAGCTAAAGTTTCAAAAGAGAAGTGGAAGGCTGGGCATGTAGTGAAGTTGGTAGAGTGTTTGCCTTAACTGCAGGTAAGGTGGCACAGGCCTGTGATCTGAGCCCTGAGGCAACGTGGAAGGTGTGAGGCCAGCCTGGGCTCTGTGAGATTCTTAAAGGAGAAAGAGAGTGGTCCACTTTAGGAGACAAGTGATACCTGATGAGATGTTAAAGTAGTAAAGTTAGAGGGGAAAACTGGAGATGTGTAGCAAGAGTTCTGTTGTCTCCCGGGTCTTGGTAAAATAATAAATTGCCATTGCCAGCAGGCAATACTGGTGATTGTTTTTACGTGGGGTGTTTTTTGTTTGTTTGGTTTTTTTTTTGTTTGTTTGTTTGTTTTTTTTAGCCCTTGGTTATGTTGAAGTTAAGTTTTCAGGGCCGAGGGAAGTAGCTCCTTCAAACAGGACCTGAATTTGAATACCAGAACTCAAGCAAACAAGGGCCACCTGGGTTGGGGAGGTGGAGGTAGGGACAGAAAGATAGATTCCTAGGGCTTATTGACTAGCCAGCCTAGCTAACATGGTTCTTTCCAGCCAAAATAAAGGCCCACTGTTGCAAATAAAAAAGGGGGACAGCTTCTGAGGAATGATGCAGTGGTCCCTGGACCACACGCGTATGAACACACACCCACACACAGGTGTTGGTGCAGACCGAATGTTTCAAAGTACAACTTCCACCCCTAACTTTGCATGAATCTTGATTTTTACTTTGTCTCATGTAAGTGGAGAGGTGGCCTGTGGGTTAAGAGCACTTGCTCTTTCAGAGGACCTATGCAGGCAGCTCATAGTCGCCCAAAACTGCAGCTCTGGGGGATTCCTACAGTGTTCTGGCCAGAGGGCAAGTGCACACACAAGGTTTGCATACACATATGCAGATCAAAAGAGACTGAAACGAACTACAGTCCACCAAATTATTACACAGAATTGACAAGTTTTTTCACTTTGTCTCGTTTAAACAATTGATTTACTCATCCTATCCAGAAAGGTTCAAAGTGCTCCGATTTTAGTTTGCTTCAGTTTCAAACTCCTTGAGGCTGCTCTGCTTGCTTTTTGCAGGTGTGGTGGAGTAAACAAAAAAGCAAATAGCATATATATTTTAAAAATCACATTGGAGAAATGGCTCAGAGTTAAGAACACTTGCTGCTCTTAGGACAATTTCAGTTCCCAGCACCAACACAGTGGTTCACAGCTGCCTATAATCCCAGTTCCAGGGATTCCAGTGCCCTCTGTGGCTTCCAAGGACATGGGGTACACGTGTCCCAGCACTTAGGAGGCAGAGGTAGGAGGATCATTGCAACTTGAAGAGCCCCTGATCCACAGGCTCCAGGCCATCTCATACTCTAAAGAGGAACCTTCTACTTAGAACACTGGTTGGTTTGATTTCATGGTCCCCTGGATGATTATGGCGGAATGTCCTGCAAGTCAGTTCTGACCCTACCTGAAGTTAGTGCAGACCCCACAAGTTGAGGAACTTGGTCCCACAAAACTGTCCTCACTTCAGATGCCAGGCAGGAGCCTCCAGTTACCAGCTGGATTTCTGGCTAGCCATGAATCAGTGAACCATCTATAACTCCAGTCTCAAGGATTCCAACACCCTCTTCTAGACTAAGGCACCAGGCACATGTAGGGTGTACTGATATAAATTCATGCAAAACACCCACACATAAAAATCATCCAAAAATAAAAGGATAAATACCTCAATTACTTTTTTATTGCTGTAAAGAGACACCATGATCACAAGCAACTTGGGAAGGAAAGGGCACACATATCCTGAATCACAGTTCTTTTGAGGGAAGCCAAGGCAGGACTTCAAACTAGGCAAGAACCTGGATGCATGAGAGGTCATGGAAGAGTGTTGTTTATTGACTTGCTCAGCCTGCCTTCTTATGGAACCCACCCAGGACTTCCAGTCTAGGGTTGGACACACCCACAATGGACTGGGCTCTCCCCCCCATCAATCATGAATTAAGGAAATGCCCTACAGGTTTACCTACAGGTTTTATGAAGATATTTTCTCAGTTGACTCTAGCTTATGTCAAGCTGACATAAAACTAACCAGCAGCATATAATAGAAATGAATAAGCCAGATGAAGATATGCATGGGGCAAGGTAGAAGGTGGGCTGCCATGCAAGCCTCCCAACACCTGTGTCCACCCACCTGAAAACTCTGGGACATGAACAGAACTGCCATGAGTTGAACACCTGCTGTTTTCTAGGAGAAATTGAGTCTTCATCACCCCCTACTGGCCAAGCATTCAAATGGCTGCAAGAATAAATGACTAAATTAAAATTGAAAAACATAACCATCTGCCAGGCATGGTGGAATAGGCCTTTAATTCCAGCACTAAGGAGGCAGAGGCAAGTGGATGTCTGAGTTCAAGATCAGCCTGGTCTACAAAGCAAGTTCCAGGTCAACAACAACTATCTTGGGAAAACAAACAAAACAAGGATCTTGGGGAGCAACACAAACACTGGATGTGATGGAGCACACCTGTAATCCCAGCACTCAGGCTGAGCAGGAGGATTGTGAGTTGAAGGCAGTCTGGACCACATTCTGAGAGCCTCATAGGTGTGGGGATGGATGGTGGGAAGGGAAGACAGGAGGGGAGTGGGGAAGAAACCGCTTAGGAGGGAGGGAAGGAAGAGAGGAGAACCAACCTTGAAAGAAAAGGAGTCAGGGCCAGGAACTGCAGCAAACATTGCTGGGTTTCCCTATCCGAATTTCTGTGATATATGGGTAGAAATCCATCTTTGTGGATTCAATCTCTGAAGACAATAAAAACGGAGTGATGTAAAGGACAGTGAAAAGTCCAAGTCTCCAAGCCACCCTCAGTTTAAATCTGCATTACATTTATTCTCTCTCTCTCTCTCTCTCTCTCTGTGTGTGTGTGTGTGTGTGTGTGTGTGTGTGTGTGTGTGTGTGTTTGTGCCATAGAGCATGTGAAGGTCGGGTGACAGCTTGCAAACATTCTCTCCTTCCAGTATGTGAGTTGAATGGATCGAACTCAAGCCCTCAGGCTTGGTGCTATGTGCCCTTGCCTGCTAAAGCACACATTTTACATTTTACACCCGAGGTTGAGAGGCAATTTCCTGACATGATCGTGGCGTACAGTAGGGGATTTTTGTGGTAATTCTAATTTTGTAAACATGAATGTGAATGTGGTGTGTGCAAACATTACACTGTGCATGCACTCAGACCAGACAAGGACATCAAGTATCCTGCTCTGTTGCTCTCTCCACCTTATTCCCTTGAGATGGTCTTTCACAGATCCTGGTTACAGACCCATGTGTGACCATGATGGCTTTTTCTATGGATGCTGGGGATTCATACTCTGGTCCTCACACTTCTGTAGCAAATGAGCTTACCCACTAAGTCACACCCATTGCCCCTTCTCAAGCATTGGAAAGCCCTACCAAGAAGGAGGATTGGTTGGGAATGAAGGTGCAAACCTATAATGCCAGGATTCTGAGACTAAGACAGAAGGCTGACAAGTCCAAGGCAAACAGAGTTGAGAACGCACCTCAAAACAACAAAAACTATGCATTTTGCGTAACATGATTAATAACAAACCCAGAGACTGATATCGGGGTTTGAGCTTCAGGTTGAAGACCAGAGAAGCAAAGCAGCAGGCCACTAGCTCTTACCTCTATCTCAGACTGAAATGGTGAGTCCTCAGAGGCAATGCTCTCCACTAAACCTCAGACTGCAATCCTTTCTCCACCAAACCTCAGATTGCAATCCCAGACTGCTGCCTCTCCTCAATGTGGCTGGAGATAAATTCTCTCATGAGACCTCTTGTTTCTTCCTTTTATACCTGGGAATAAAGGTATGGGGTGCCAAGTGCTGAGATCTCCTTTGTGTGAGCTGTTTTCTCTTTTAGCTGGATCAAATTTCGTGTAGCTCAGTGTGGCCTTGAAATAACAGAAATGTCTGTCTCCTGAGTCCTGGGATTAAAGGTGTGTGCCATCACTGCCTACATAATGAGAAGTTTGCCTCAAAAAAAAGGAAAACAAAGGGAAAAGGGAGGGGGGAGAGGAGATAAAAAAGAAATGGGGGGGGGGGTGGACTGATCAGTCTGAGACAGCACTAGTCTTGGTTTGAACAGAATACCGAGAACTCCCGGATTCCTAGAGGGGCGGCTGCGCCCCCTCTCCCGGGGCGGGGCTCTGACTCACTTCCGGCTGCGCCGTTGTTCCGTGGCTGTGCTGGTTCCAGCCTCCCGAAGCGGTTCTGAGTCACGGTGAGCCTGTGAGTCCCAGGTTAGCCTGGAGGCTAGGAAAAGGAGCGTTGGCCAAAAGGTTTAGGGAGGGAGGAACGGGTTTAGCAGCTGTGGATCTGGTTCCAGGGATTCGTTTATGGTGATTCTGGGAGGTTGCCTAGGGAGGAGCGCCCCGCCCAGCCGCTGTAGGCGCCGCTCTATGGAAAGCCTTTTTTCCACCCCCAAGGGCTTTCTCCAACAAAACCCTGCTGCTTTTGCTTCCAGAATCGCTTTAATGTGAGCTCCTTCAGTTGAGCTCTGTGTTATCTGACGGAAACTGTCGTCTTCCCTAGCTCTCGCCCGGAGATTTAAACTCGGGACTGATTGTTAAGGATAAGCCTAAGGTTAGGAACATTGTGTGAAAAACCCGAATCTCATTAATCTTGGGTAATGTCCAGTCCAGGCGGGGAAACAGTCCGGTTGGGCTTTGTGTGCCCAGAACAGGGATATGCTTTAGTTTGGAAAGATTTTTAGAAGATCGTTTCTAAGTAGAGTATAGGAGAGAAAGGTGATTTATTTGGTGGGTCACATACTTGGAAATCTTATGTTGAAAGGGAACAATTGAAAGAACTGTGAACAAAAAGCAGGCAGAATTTGGCTCGCTTTAGAGGAGACTTTCTTAGCCATTAGATCCGCTCCCCAGTCATGCTCCTCAGGAATTATTGTTCTGCCTAGAAGCTTTTCGAAAATTTGCACGGTTTGAGACAGGGTCTTGCTGTATAGCCCAGACTGGCGTATAATTGGTGATCCTCCTGTCTCTGCTCTCTCCGGTGCTGTAATTACAGGTGTGTGTCACCACGGCTTCAGCTTGGAGTTTCCGTACAGACTGTCTTAAAGGCATTATCTAGCACTAGGTAGTAATTGGTGCTCATTTGCTGCAATCTGTGGTACTTTGATTCATGTGTACCTCGTCTTGTACAGAATGAATTTGAAGCTGATTAAGAGGGGTATATAAATTTTGCAGACTTGGCATAAAGGAGGGGAAAACTGGGAAGTGACCAAAAACCTGCCTTGAATAGACTACATGCTTCTGCTGGTAGACTGCAAGAGTTTAAAGGCTTTTTATTTTTATTTTAGTGTGGCGTGTGTGTGGACAGTTTGCATGAATCAGTGTTCCCCTTCCATCATATGGGCACCAGGATCGAGCTTGGTAGCAGGTTGCACTTGTTACTCACCTAGCCATCTTTCCAGCTGAGTTAGACCTTTTAAGATAGCTTTGGGTTTTGGATTTTGGATAGCTTTCTTGGGGGAGGTGGCCTTTTGGTTTTGTTGTTGTTTTGTTTCATTTTTCAGAGTTTCTCTGTGTACTTAGACTGTCTATCCTGGAACTTGCTCTGAAGATCAGACTGGTCTCAAACTCACTGAGATCCACCAGCCTCTGCCTCCCAAGTGCTGGATTTAAAGACGTGCACTAACTACTATGCTGGATTTAAAGACGTGCACTACTATGCCTGGCCCCCTCAGGCTTTTTCTTTTCCTTCCTTTTCTCTTTCCTTTCTTTCTTTCTTTCTTTCTTTCTTTCTTTTTGTTTGTTTGTTTGTTTTTCAAGACAGGCTTTCTCTGTGTAGCTTTGGAGCCTATCCTGGCACTCACTCTGTAGCCCAGCCCCGGAACTCACAAAGATCCACCGCCTCTGCCTCCTCAGTGCTCGGATTAAAGGCACATGCCCCACTGCCCAGCTCAGGCTTTTTGATTTTATGAACATTTAAGAAATTTTCACAAACCAAGATCTGGAGGGCATCTCCAAATGGCAAGCTCAGCATAACCAAGTAGAAAATTACTGGCTTTCTTTGTGGGGAGAGATGGAATGCCAAGATAGTTTGTTGTCATATGTCTTTTTGTTTTTTGTTTATTTTTTAATCTTGCCCCCAAAAAGAAAAAAGAGACCCACAAATTGCCAGTCAGGTGGAGGACTTATCTCTCACTCCTATCTCACACCAGTTTTTTTTTTTTTTTTTTCTTTCTGCCTCCTGTTTGTTTTGTGGTTTGTTTTTGAGAGAGGACTTTGCTGTGTGTGTGTACTTTTTCTCACAGGCTGGCTTAATGGCCTGCAACTCACTTTGTAGCTAAGACTCTGACTTTGACCTGTCTCAGAATGCTGTAATTATAGACATGCTCTCCCCTCAAAACCATAAAATTTTACTAAATATACAGAGTCCAGGAGTGAGAGGCTAAAGCCAAGTTACATTTGATGGTCAAGTGTCAGGTGTTCGGTCAGTGTTCCATATTCTAAGGTATCAACGGGGGATGCCAAGTGTCCAGAAAAGAAAAATATTAAGCATTTTTTCTTTGCATCGCCTATTTTGGTTGAATTTTTCCTCTCAATTTCTTTTCAGCAATACACATTTATCAGACTAAGTAACTATAAGCCTATATAATGCTGAACTTGGTGATACAACTTTAATCCCAGCCAATTTCTTATGAGTTCCAGGTTAGCCCAGGCTATCCATTGAGACCCTGACTCAAAAGTAACAACAACACACACATTTGTTTTGTCTTTCCACCCATTATTCTTTTGTGGCAGGGCCACAAAAGATGGGTCAGCCAGTAAAGATGCTTGTCCACAAGGCTGATGGCCTGAGTTTGGTCTCTGGAACCCACATGATGGGAGAACTGAGTCTTGCAAGTCAACTCTGACCTCTAACCTCTGTACATACTGTGGCATGTGTATGCCTTACCCTGACACACATAGAGTAGATCAATCAAAAATGGGACGGGACTGGAGAAATGGTTCAGTGGTTAAGAATATGCACCACACTTGGCTGAAGACCCTAAGTTGTGTCCCAGCCCTCGTGGTAGGCAGTTCACAAATGTCTGTAGCACTAGGAGTTCCTACTACTGTCCTCCACTGGTACCTGCCCTCATTCACACATGCTCCAGCATGCATTGCACACACAATTTTTGTTCATTTGTTTATCTGGTGGTAGGGGTAGAACCCAAAGCTTTGCATCCACAAGACAAATGCTCTACTCCTGAGCTATCTTCTTAGACCCTGTATTCCAATATTTTTTTAACAAGCTGGTTAATTCCAGCCTAGGACATAACATGCTCATACTGATAAACCCAGGCATTTGAGTAATCCACCTTTTTTTTTTTTTTTTTTTTTTTTTTTTTTTTTTAAGACAGGGTTTCTCTGTGTAACAGTCCTGGCTGTCCTGGAACTCACTCTGTAGATCAGGCTGGCCTCAGAGTCACTGAAATTCTCCTTCCTCTGCCTTCCAAGTCCTAGGATTAAAGGTATGTGCCACCACTGCCTTGCATTAGTCTACTTTTTTATGTTCAGACAGTTAGTTTACTGAAACAATAGAAACTAAGATATCTATAGTTGTAAGATTGTGGAAAAGATTTTAGAGCAAAGATCTAATTTTAAATATTATGTCACTCTGGACTTTTGGGGGAAATGGACACAACTCCATCAAATGAAAGTAGATTTTACTTAGCTGACTTCAGAATGATTGAATAATTTATTATTATTGTTGTTGTTGTTATTATTCATTTTTAACACACACACACACACACACACACACGGAGCCAGGGTTTCTCTGTATGGCTTTGGAGCCTGTCCTGGAACTCATTCTGTAGACCAAGCTGGCCTCAAACTCATAGTGATGCACCTGCCTCCGTAGTGCTGGGATTAAAGGTGTGCACCACTACCACCTGGCCCAAGCCATCTCTTATAAGAGGAAGTGCTTGATTGGGGGCTTCTTACGATTTCAGAGGTTAAGAACATTATCAGCATTGTGTGGCCACATTCAAGCAGGCACTAAAGCAGTAGCTAGGATCTACATCCTAATCTCTAGGCAGAGAGAGAAAAGCACTGAACCTGCTGTGGCTTCAGAAACCTCAAAGCCCACCCCCAGTGGCACACTTCCTCCAGCAAGGCCACACCTCCTAATCCTTCTAATCCTTTCAGATAGTCACTCTCTAGTGACTAAACTTTCAAATATATGAACCTGTAGGGGCCATTCTTATTCAAACAACCACAGTGCATATAACTGTTTTAGCCATACTTAGTCCTTAGTCCTTTTTTTTCTGTCCCCCCCTCATGCTCCTTTTATCCCTTTCAGAGTCCCTTTCATGCTCCCACCTTTCAAATTCTGTATAGGAGAGAAAACACGCTTGGCTTATTTTGGGTAGTCTGGCTTTTCATGATGATTTCCACTTCCATCCGTTTTGCTGCAAACAACACTTCTCAACAATGCTTTTTTAAAAATACATGTGTGTGGGGTCAGAGGATAACTTATAGAAGTCAGTTCTCTCCTACCACCATGTAGGTCACAAGGGTCAGGCATAGCAGCAAGCCCTTAATCAACGGAGCCATCCCACCAGCTCTGAACAGTACTTTTTATATGGTAGTTGTCTGGTGGCCCCTGTGATAAAGACCAGAAAAACGTATTTTTCCTTTTTGATAATTTTACGGCAACTATGTTTTTTTTAGGTTTGAAGTGTGACTCTTAAGAAACAGAAACCCAAAGGCACCAGGTCTGCTCCCCAAGGTCCTGCTGTCTCTGGAATCTGTGTGATGACCAAGGTGGTAGGCATGGCCACAGTTCTGGGCCCCAGGCCACCTCAGGAGCCAGTGGGGCCTTCGACCATTAATGCCGAAGAGGATGAAGACAAAGACAGCTGCCGCCCTAGCCTAGAGATATCCCGTCAGCGCTTCAGGCAGTTTGGGTACCATGACACTCCTGGGCCCCGAGAGGCACTGAGCCAGCTGCGGGTGCTCTGCTGTGAGTGGCTGCAGCCCGAGATCCACACCAAGGAGCAGATTCTAGAGCTGTTGGTCCTGGAGCAGTTCCTGACCATCCTGCCCCGAGAGCTCCAGACCTGGGTGCAGCAGCACTGCCCCGAGAACGCAGAGGAGGCCGTCACTCTCCTGGAAGACCTGGAGCAAGAACTGGATGAGCCGGGGCTGCAGGTGGGCGGGAAGCCGTCAGATGCTAGCAGACATAACATCCTTGGCAGGAGCCTGGGCTTGTCCATCTGTTGTGTGCAACTTTTCCTGGGGAGTTGCAACACACACATAGGGAATCCACGACAGACACCACCAAAGCCCAGCATGGCGAACCGATGAGTTTTATTGAGGTTGCTTTACCGTGGTTTGGGTGAGGGGTTATTTACAGGAGCAGAAATGACTCTGAGACAGCTGCATCACCAGAGCCCAGCATGCGTAGCAGCTCACAAAGCTGGGGACCTGGAGCACACTGCACAGCCTGCAGGCAGCTCAGAAGGTTGGAGAGTGTCCTTTCCAGGCAGGTCAGCTGGTCTGAGAGTTTTCCTTGCAGCTTGGCTTTGCCGGGTCTACTTTACAGCTCTGCTCCGCTAGTCTCAGAGGGACTCTCAGCTTTTATTGTTTATCCTGGCAGGGAGGGGCCAGTGAATCTGGTCAGTTTCAGGGACTTCCTGAAGCTAGTTTGTTGTTTCCCTTCCTATAGGCTGGAAGGCAGAAACTATTTCACAGCGCTGTCCAGTAAGATTATTAACCAGCTGCACTCTTGTGGGGAGCTAAATCATGTTTGCTCCTGTTGTCTGCTCTTATCCTGAAATAACCCTGGGAGCCAAGTGGGATGACTGTTTTTCCTTTCCTTCTGAAGGCCTGCAAAGCTCGCTTGAGGCTCCTCTCCCCTTGAGTCAGCTGTGCATACACCATGTCTCACTGTCTCTAGGTCTCATCTCCTCCAAATGAACAGAAGCAGGCGTGGGAGAAGATGTCAACTTCAGAAACTACAGTAGAGTCCTTAAGCAGTACCCAGGCTCAGTCCGTGGATGCCAGCCCCAAATATGAGTTTTGGGGCCCCCTGTATATCCAAGAGACTGGTGAGGAGGAGGTTTTCACTCAGGATCCAAGAAAGCGTCAAGGTAAGGACTTATCTCCGTGTCCAGAGAAATCCATAACTCCAGGTAAGAAGTGACCTCTAGATTGACGACTGGTCAAGCTGACCAGGCAGACGCCACACACTTCCCTCTCCCAATCCTGCTTGTCCCGGACAGCCTCCCAGTACTAGGATAGGCAGCGTGGTTGCAGAGGGTTGAGCACAGTGAGCTGTTTTAAACAGGAATGAGATGTGGACAGGCTGAATGAGCCAATATGTTGCCAAACTAGACTACAGTGAAAAGATATCATTGCCTGTAAGCCTGAAGGAAGACCTTTTATTACCTTGGTAGGGAAGGAAGGAGTCACATGTAGGAGATGTGGCTCCAGGTCCTGTCATTGGGTAAAGAGCAAACAGGATAGGTACCTGGTTTTCACAGTTCCTGCCCTCACATCTTCTGGTGTACCAATTGGCAGGCACAACCACAGCCAACAGTGTGAAAAGTCTTTAGTCCTAAGGGTCAGTTTCCTGGGATACAGGGCAAGGCAGACTGGGTCCGGAAAAGCCCAAGGACCCTGGGTTCCATCCCCAGCACTCTAGTTCAAGCTCATCCTTGGCTACATGGTGAGTTCAAGACCAGTCAGGGTTTATGAGATCTTATCTAAGAAAGAAAGAAAGAGAGAGAAAGAGAGAGAGAGAGAGAAAGAGAGAGAGAGAGAGAGAGAGAGAGAAAGAGAAAGAAAGAAAGAAGAAAGAAAGGAAGCATATTAGGGTATCTATTCTCTAGTTCACATCTCTAAAAGTCATGGTTTACATACCAGACTTATTTTTCTACTTCTGGTTCCTGTTCTTATACTTTCATTTACCTGGTATAATAAAGTTTTCAAAGATTAATCAGATTTACATGTTGATGAAAACATAGCAGATTGTTCCAAATCTTTATCATTTTTCATGGGTATGGTATGTTCATGAGCAGAGCCATGGCCCTGAGAAAATGCCTGAATTACCATGTCGTAGACATTTGAAATCCCCTCTTTGGCCAGGCAGTGGTGGCCCACACTTTTAATCCCAGCACTTGGAAGGCAGAGGCAGGCAGATCTCTGTGAGTTCCAGGCCAACCTGGTCTACAGAGTTCCAGGACAGCCAGGATTGTTATACAGAGAAACAAAAAACCAAAAAGAAAAAAGAAATCCCTTCTTGGAAACAATTTTGAGCCCTGTTGAAAACTGTATTCTGTACCAGGCATAGTGGCACACATTTTTAGTCCCAGCAATGGGGAAGCAGAGACAGGTAAGATTTTTGTGAATTTGAGGCCAGCCTGGTCTATATGAGTTCCAAGACATCCAGTGCTATGTAGAGAGATCCTGTCTAAAAACAACAACCACAACAAGAATTTGTTCTTTAGGGCCAGAGAGTGGCTCAGCAATGGCAGTGGCAGCTCTTACAGCGGATCCATCACTTCTCAGCACCCACATGGAGGGCTCACAACAGCCTGTACCCCTAGGTCCCTAAGGTTTCAACAGCCCCATCAGCTCTCCAAGGGCTCATGCCAATAACAGGCACATACATAAAGACAGTTTGAGAAATGTACATCATAAAGCAGGCCGGTGGTGGCGCACACCTTTGATCCCAGCACTCGGGAGGCAGGCGGATCTCTGTGAGTTCCAGGCCAGCCTGGTCTACAAAGCTACAGAGAAACCCTGTTTCCAAAAAATAAAAAATAAAAAAAATGTCCATCATAGGGGCTGACAAGGTGGCTCGGCTGTTACAGTGCCTGCTCTGAAAGCCTGGTGACCTGAAGGAAAGAACTAAGCTCTAGTGCTGGGCTGAAAGTGCACCACCACTCCTGGCCTGAAAAGTTTTTCAGAGCTACATTCTAGGGGGCTGCAAAGAGGTGGCAAAATGTGTGTACATAAAGTCATAAAGTAAGTAAATCTAAAAACTGCACAACAACCCTCAGGTATGGTGTCACACAACCTGTAGTCCCAGCACTGGAAAGGTTCCAGGTGGGAGAGTTCAAGGCCAGCCTGGGCTATATATTGACACTCTGATTCAGGAAACAACAAAGTTGTATTCTCTGGGAAAAGTAAAAATTAAACTGTTACTTTTAGTTAGTTTTTTATTGTTTAGAGTTGTTTATAATCTTCCAGTTACCTGGGGGCTTCCCTGGGCTGTAGGAGTAATTAATTATATATGAAGAAAACCAAAAATATAATTGCTCACAATATTTGGAAGTCTGAAGCAGGAGAATTGCCATGAGTTTGAGGACAGCCTAGGCCTACCTGTTATGAGGTATCCACCAGAGAAGACCACTCAGACATGGTTCAAGCCAAGACAAAGTCTGCATTATCCGACAGCAACTACACTGGCTGTAGTTGGAATTTTCTCTGGACCACCAACCAGCTCCCAAATAAAGACATGGCGACTTACTATTATGAATGCTCAGCCTTAGCTTCAGCTTGTCCTTCTAACTCTTATAACTTAATTTAACCTGTTTTTAATTCATCTAGTTTTTGCCTTGGGGCTTTTTATCTTCCTTTTATTCTGTAATCGTACTTTCCTGCTTCCTCTGTATCTAGCTGGCTGGCTGGCCCCTGGCATCTCCCTGGTGTCTTTTCTTTTTTCCTTTGAGCCTAAATTCCTCCTCCTTGGTCTCTCTGCCTGGAAGTCCTGCCTATTCTTCCTCCCTCACTATTGGCCATTCAGCTTTATATTAGACCAGTCAGGTGTAGGCAAGATAGAATAGCAACACATCTTTACATAGTTAAACAAATATTCCATAATCATTGGGTATTCAGGACCAGAGTACAGTCCCTAGCCTTTCTCTGGGTGAGCTTTCTACGCATAAAAACCACATCCAAAAAGCCAAAAAGCAAAGTTAGTACATTTAGGAACTTTCTCCAAACTATGGACTTTGATGGATGAAGACTTTGTTGTTTCAGCAGGTGTAGCAAGGCCTGAATGATATTTTCATCATGGCATAGGTTGTTAAGACCTGGGGACCTGTTGCATGCCTAGTATGTTCCAGGAGAAGGCAGAGTGAGAACCTGTCCCTAAAATGAAGGAAGACCCTCCCTCTTGCAGATTAAAGTGTTCCCGCACAATCCCCAGTTTTAGAGTACAATCCTTCTACCTCGGTCCGCTCTCCTCCTCCCCTTTCTGTTCTGTGCCACTCAGTCCTTCTGTCCCCTCCTCCTTGCTTTGGATTCTGAGGCTCTTACCCTTTGAAACTTGTTTCACCTGGGATAGCAAACCTCCCAACTCAAACTCCTGATCTGGGCAGCACCACACTAATGAGCACAGAATACAGATATTTGATAGGCATGTATTCCTGATCACATCACATTTATAAATAGAAATTAGGGCTGGAGACATGGCTCAGTAGATAAGATCATTGCTGCTGTTAGAGGACAGAAGTTTGAATCCAGCACCCACATAAGGCTGCTCACAACCACCTGTGTTTAATTCCCATTTCAGAGACCTGATGGCCTCTTCTGCCCTCTACAGGCATCTACATTCATATGTCAGACACACAGTTACACAGGAATAAACAAATAAATCTTTTAAAAATAAGATAATTGGGGCCAGGTGGTGCTGGCACACACCTTTAATCCCAGCATTTGGGAGGCAGATTTCTATGAGTTCGAGGCCAGCCTAGTCTACAAAGCTAGTTCTTAGAACAGCTAAGAATGTTACACAGAGAAACTCTGTTTTAGGGGAAACAAACAAAGAACCAAACAAACAAAACAGGATAATTGGGACTGGAGAGATGGCTAGACAGTTAAGAGCACTTAGTTCTTTTGTAGAGGACCCATATTCAGTTCCCAGCACCCACATGGCAGGTTAAAACAATCCAGAACTGTAGTTCTGAGATCTTTTCTGAACTCCATGAATTCTCGGCATATACACTTATATGTAAGCAAAATGCCCATACAAGCACACTCATTCATACGTTCATTTTTTTTGTTAGAAAAAGACGATGACTGGTGGTGGTAGCCCTGCCTCCACTTAGGAGACAGAGGCAAGAGGATATGAGTTCAAGGCCAACCTGGTCTACAGAGCCTTTCTAGGACAGCCAGGGCCACACAAAGAAACCCTGGCAAGGGGGGTAGGGTAGAGATGCTGACCTTGGGTAGAGGGTGACCTGGAACTCCTGGTCCTGCTTCCAATTCCTCCCAGTGCTGGGATTTGAACTGTGTACCACCACATACAGCTTCATATGTAGAGCATTCTATGTCAGCATGTCACAGAGACTTGGGCTAGTTTTACTGTAGCTGTGTTCATAATTCTCAAAATATGGAACCAGCCTGTATATCAATGGATAAAGAAAATGTACATATGTACAATGGAATTACATTCAACTGTAAAAACAAGTAAAATTATATGACAGTTGGGAGAAAATGAAAATAGGAAAAATTGAATCCTTCCATAATTTCCCTTTGCATAGTCACTTGTCAGTTCTACACAAAGAGGAAGGCTGAGAGGAAGTCTAACCAGAGCTGGAAATGGGCTGTTCTTATTGTTTGTGTCTGTGAATTTTTTCTGTTTAGTTTTGGTTTTGGCTTGATTGTAATTATATTTGCTTTTGTCTTTTGTTTTTTTGTTTTGGTCTCTATGTAACCCTCGCTGGCCTGGAACTCATTGTGTAGACTGGGCTACCTCAAAAAACAGAGATCTGCCTGCCTCTAATTCCCAAGTGCTAAGGTTAAAAGTATACACCACCACGCCTGGCCCAGGCTCAGGTTTTAGTGCCCAGTGTGGAAGTGACTTTTAAGTACTCTTACGGGAGAGGAATTGGCTATGTACCCCTGACATGGTGTGCTGCACTGGAAGACTGAGCCAGTGGCGCAGGACATGAGGAAGCTGGCCACTGCCCGAGCTCTGAGTGGAACTCGCCCTACCCATGGCACTGAAACCTGGGGTCTACCCTGGTAGCACTTAAACTCCTTCCTTTTACCTGCATGGCCCAGAACCTTCCCCAGGCAGCAAGCATGCACAGACATTGGCTATGGGTATGTTGCAGGAGCAAACGTGAACCCACAGACACAGTAGGCCAGTGTATTCTAGACTGCTCCACAGCATCCAGGGGGAGGGAGTTGAAAGACAGTCTTTCTGGATGATAAGATTTGTAAAATAGTCGTGTAATGGGAATTAGGGGTAGCAGGCTTCTGTGGACACAGCAGGACCATAAACTCGATGTGACAATAACTTTATTTGTATTCCTGCTAGAGCTATTTCCCACATGGCATCATCCTTTCAAATCCATCTACCTCACTTGGTGATCCTGCTTCCCATGTAACAGCTGCCTCCTCAGAATAGGAACAACTGATGCATCCTTAACCCGCCTGCTTTCAGGTTTGAAATCGAATTCTCAGAGGGAGGACTCGGCAGATGAGCAGAGAAGTTCCGAAGAGGAGTCTCACGCAGACGGACTCAAAAGGGACATCATCCCTGTGATTGCTGCCAATAAGTACAGCAGGTCGAGGTCACAAAGGCCGTGGGCCAACAGTCTGGAAAGGGGGAGGGGAACAAAAGCTTCTCTGCAAGACACAGGTTCCAGGAAAGGGGCAGAAACTGTGTCTGCTAAGGCTGCCCCAGGAGAGAAACGTTACATATGTGCAGAGTGTGGGAAGGCCTTTAGCAATAGCTCAAACCTCACTAAGCACCGGAGAACACACACTGGGGAGAAGCCTTATGTGTGTACCAAGTGTGGGAAGGCTTTCAGCCACAGCTCCAACCTTACTCTTCATTACAGAACACACTTGGTGGACCGGCCCTATGACTGTAAGTGTGGGAAAGCCTTTGGGCAGAGCTCAGACCTCCTTAAACATCAAAGGATGCACACAGAAGAGGCGCCCTATCAGTGTAAAGACTGCGGGAAGGCCTTCAGTGGGAAGGGCAGCCTCATTCGACACTACCGCATCCACACTGGGGAGAAGCCCTATCAGTGTAGCGAGTGTGGGAAGAGTTTTAGTCAGCATGCAGGTCTCAGTTCCCATCAGCGCCTGCATACAGGGGAGAAGCCCTATAAGTGTGAGGAGTGTGGCAAAGCCTTCAACCATAGCTCAAATTTTAATAAGCACCACAGAATCCATACTGGTGAGAAACCCTACTGGTGTAACCACTGTGGGAAAACCTTCTGTAGCAAGTCAAATCTTTCTAAACATCAGAGAGTCCACACTGGAGAGGGAGAAGTGCCGTAACTGGTCATCCTGTCGTTGTCGCCGTCCTTGTTGTAAACGTTAGAATGTGAATGCTAGAGAGCAGCTCTGTAATACAGTGATGTTTGGTGGTAGATTGTGCTCTAGTCATCAAGGGATGCCATGGAGGGAGAGCTCCACAGTGACGCAGCAGGCAAGAGGTCTGCAGAACACCAGTGGCTCCACGGTGGTCACCTCCGACAGCAGGGTCCCTCCTTACACTCCAGGCCCTAGTGCCCTAGTGAACGAAGCTGATATTGCCTTCTGTGTAGTTTAACTGATGTGTGTCCAGTATAGTTAAAAAAGAAGCAAGCATTACAATTGTCTGTTTTAACATATATTCTACAGTTGTAGTTTGTAAAGAACTAAGCCACCTTGAACTGTCTGTTTCCGAATAAACGTAAATGTAAATGTAACGCCTCGGAACTATTATTGTGATAAATGATGTTGTAGAACACCTTTTTTTTTTTTTTTTTTTTTTTTTACAGTTTTTGGATGAATGGATATGTGAATGTGTGTGTGCCCCAGCACATATGTGAAGGGAAACTTCAATTATTTTCTCCTTCCATCCAGCATATGGGTCCCAAGGATCAAACTCAGGTAGTCAGACCTGGTGGCAAGCTCCTCACCCTCTGAGCCTATCACTAGCTGTGGTTATTGAACTCTTGGGTGAAATAGTGGCCAGGCATGGGGGTATACTGTCATACTCCCAACACTTAAGAGGGGATCATGAGTTCCAGACTGGCCAGACTGTGACTCAAAGAAAAGAAAGGGAAGGGCAGCCGCCTCCGGTCTGGAGCTTGTGAATGTGTGAGGGAATTGGGAAAGTGTAGGTAGTAGCTGCCTAAAGGTCTGCGCTGTAGCATTGTGCTGTGCCCTGACATAGTGATCACACACTGAGACAAGCTTTCTCTGTAGCCCATGGTGTTTTGAGATAGAGTTTCTCTGTGTAGCCCGAGCTGTCCTGGAACTCACGCTGTAGACCAGGCTGCCCTTGAACCCACAGAGATCCACCTGCCTCTGCCTCCCAAGAGCTGGGATTAAAGGCGTGCGCCATCACCACCTGGTGTGAACACATACTTTCATTATTGGGATCATTTTGTCAGCCTGTGAGTTTTAATTAACCCTGTCTGTGTCAATGGCTTTGAACAACAGCTCTCCATAAACGCCACAAATGGAAACCCATCTGGATTACCTTAAATCTTCCCTGGTATCATCTGAGTGCAGTCTCTGCACTGCTAAAACATCTTCCATTCCTTTGGTCTGCTGTTGCCTAGAAACCCAACCACTCTCCTCCCTCCTGTCACTTGCTTCTCTTCATAGTGTGGCAGTTTTTTCTACTCTGGGGAAGGACTCACTGAAGTGTTCCATACCTTAAGGCCAAGCTTGATATGGTAGGAACTGGTGGCAAGAAAGTTTCCTGTCGAGTGCCAGACCCAAGGATGGTCCTACGCTCTACCAATGTCACAGCCTCAAGCCACACCTCCCTCCAGCTTTACATGACAAGGGAGTTGACAAGCTTTGCTGTGGCCTTGGCAACAGCACTCCTCCCTTTCAGCTGCAGCCTTCTTCCCCACACCCATATTCCCAGGCCCTCCTGCCTATGCAAACACAGGTATGTATACATGTGTGCAGGCGCCTATGCGGGCAGAGGTGTGGGAAAATGGCTGTGAGCCCTGCAACATGGGTGCTGGAAACCACTCAGATCCTCTGTAAGAACCATGTGGGCTTACCACTGGGTCATCTCTCCAGCCCCAACAATATTGAAGTTTTAACTTTGTTGTTGCTTGAGACGAGGTCTCACTATGCAACCCTGGCTGGCCTGGAACTCATTATATAGACCAAGCTAGCTTCCAACTCACAGATCCGCTTGCCTCTCTGTTTCTTGAGTTCCGGGATTAAAGGTATGTGTCACCATGCCCTGACCGACTTTACTCTGTTTGAATATTGTATTTATGTGTATGTGTGTGTGCCTGTGTGGGTATGTGCATATGAGAGCAGACACATAGAAGGTCCCCTGGAGCTGGAGTTAACAGTTCTGAACTGCCTGATGTGGACGCTGGGAACCAAACTTGGGTCCTCGGCCAAGAGCAGCACATGCTCAGGACATCTGGTATGTAGGTTAGGTCATTCCGGTGGGGGGAAAAAAGGAATATTCCCTTTGTCCTGGGGAACTGAATGCCCTCCATTCAGTCCCACCCCACCCTCAGCCCCTGTGCCGTGACCACCATCTTTCCTGATAAGGCTCTAGTGAAGGAGAGCTCCCAGCTCCCATTCTCTGAACTTGGCATCTTTTATTTCTGGATATAATGAGTTAAGGTTCAGATTAGGCCACACACACTAAATCTTCATGTACCAGCCGATGGGGGGAGGGGCACTGAAAAACTGAAAATTGCCATTTTCTTGCTGTTACAGTAGCCTAAGAGATGTCTCTGGATGTCCTCCCAGAGCCTTAAACTCAGTACATTGAATGATGACCTTTGTATTTCCCCAGTAACGAGGCCTACAGAAGGGTGGGGTCTGGGCAGCAGACATGATGCCCACCCTTATGTGTACTTTACCTCTAACTGCTGAATCCTTGCCTCTATAACAACCACCACTGAACCCAGTAATACCCAAGTCCCCATCACTAGTATAGGCCTTGTTTTCTTGGTGAGGGAGTTCTTAGGGTTGTTAGAAATAAAACACAAGGGGAACCTTGGCAGATTCCATGGCAGGCGAGGGTGACTGGGGGGGGAGGGGGACAAACATGCCAGGCAGACAGCTTAGAGGAAAGTTGTATTAGAAAGGGAAACGGGGTGGGAGGAAAGAGAAAGGGGGTGAAGAGATACAGAGACAGAGAGAGAACAGAAGAGAAGAGGGACCCAGGAAAAGTCTGGTTTGCCCCAGGTGAACAGCAGGAAAGACAGAAATCGTAAGTGGGCTGGGTCTGTCTTTTAAATGGGGTCCTCTGCACCTGGGTGCAGATTAGTAGTCGTGGAACCCTGGGCTGACAGGGTACTGCCTGCGTGCATTCTGCCAGGTGACAGGGGCAGGCCAGCATAATGTCTGAATCCTTACCAGGATCCCTTGGGAAGATGACCGACCCATGATTACGGTTGTCAAATTTCACGCATTAAATTCACCTTAACGTTCATTGAGTCTACCGGTCCTTCTCTCGGGACTCTGCAGATTAGTGCTATTTCTCTACCCCATCGGAGCAGGGCATCATTCGTGGCCAAGGGTTAACCATCCTGGGCATGGATTAGTACAATGTAATATTCCTACGTGGGTGTGCAGAGGCCATAGGAGAATGTCATGATGCCTTTCCCCATCTCTGCCTTATTCCCTTTGTCAGGTCCCAAAGAAACCCAGGACAAATGGCTAACTGTGGTGCCTGTTAGCAAACAAAGTGTATGCTGGCCTCAGGCTCAGTATCCCAAGTACCCGTTCCAGAGTCCTGGCTCCTCTTAGCAGTTCTCACCCCAGCCCCCAGCCCAAACCTCTGCAGTCCCTGAGCTTCTCTTTCCTGTATAACCCTGCCACTTCAGCCGCGTGCTGTCCTGGTCCTTCTCTTGGCCCTCCGTTCTTGGCTCCTAGTCCCTTCTCTTGGCCCTCTGTCTTCTCTTCCTCTCCCTACCTCTCCTCTCATGGTCCCATTCAGTCTACTGGTCATGTCTAGTCTACTATTGTTTCTCTCTGCTCTGGACTCTAGCTGTCTTCTGTCATCTATAGTAAAACCCTTCTCAGCTGTACCTAGGGGCGGTCATGTCCTCATTTCCATTCACCCTTGAGATAGGATTGCTCACTGAGCTTTGTAGGCTGGCAGCCTGCAAGCCCCAGCAATCCTTCAGTCTTAGCCATGGCCAGCTTTTTATGTGGGAGCTGGGGATTTGAACTACCCCCTCTGCTTGCACAGCAAGGACACTTAGCACTGAGCAGTCTCCACAACATCATAGTACTCCTTTGTTATTGTTGCTGGCAGAAAGAAAAGAGGAATTTCCCAAAGTGCTTCCTTCCGTAATTGCTAAATAGGTGATTTTTGAAGCTGCTTAATCTGCAACTAAGTTTTAAGTGTTTGGGAACAGATGTGATACTGTTTTCTTTTTTTTTCTTATTTGCAGAAGTAAATTTATTTAAAGAAGGGGCTTTCATAGATTTTGTTCTGTGGGTAAGAGTGTTTTGCCTGTGTTTGTGTTGTGTACCAAATGCATATAATCTTCAGGGAGGCCAGATGAAGGTGTCGGATCCCCCAGAACTGGCTTTCTAGGCAGTTGTGAGCTGCATTATGTGGGTGCTGGGAATTGAATCCTGGGTCCTCTGTAAGAGTAACAAGTGCTGTTAAATACTGAGGTATCTCTCTAGACTCCCCCAAAGGGGATTTTTTAAAAGGTGCCTCGTGCAGGCTTGCAGCTGAAGGTGGATGTGGGGAGACAGAGATTTAAAAACAATCATCAGGCTGGGCAATGGTGGTGGCATGCTTTTGATCCCAGCACTCTGGAGGCAGAGGAAGGTAGGTCTCTGTGAGTTCAAGGCCAGCCAGTTCTACAGAGTGAGTTCCAGGACAGTTCCAGAGATGTTGCACAAAGAAAACCTGTCTTGAAAAAAAGAAACAAAAAACAAAAACAAAACCCACACACTCATCAGAGGAGCCCTTACTTAACATAGATCACAAGGAGCTTGCTTTAAAGCACAGTTCATTAGCTGATTTGTGTGTGCATATGCATATGTGTGTGTTCGTACGAGTGGGTATGCATGTGTGTGTGCATGTAGAGGCCAAAAGTCAACATTAGATATCTTCCTCCATTACTGTTCACTTTACTATTTGAGACAGGGTGTCTTACTGAACCTGGAGCTCATGGTTTGGCTAGACTAGCTGGCCAGCCAGCCCCAGGGGCTTGCCTGTTTTGGCAGCTGATCTCTGGGTTCCCTCCATCTCTGTAGTTACAAAAGGGCCTTGTCATGCCCAGGTTTTTACATTAGTGTTAGGTATCCAAATGCAGGCCCTAAGCAAGCCCTGGTCAACTGAGCCATCTCCCAAGCCATTAGCTCTTCTGAACAATTG